CATTTTTTGAAAAATTTTTATTTTTTATGACTTTTTGATTTGTTAGTAAACCATTTTTAGCAGCACATGATGGCGTATCATGGCAAGCATATGAAGAACTTAATAATTTTGGTGAAAACTCCAGTTTAACAGAGAAATAATTATAGATATTTATAATAAATATTGAATAGATAATAAAAAGAAAAATATATAAAAGAATTCGTATCCATGATGAACGAAGTTTTGCAGCGAAATTAAAATGTTTAAAATTTCGTTGAATTTTTAAACAACATGACATTGTTTCATTATCCATTGATGATGATAAACAATGATCATTAGAATGATTAAGAAATGCTTTTTCTTCATTATATTGATTATTTATCATTGAAACAAGATCTAAATAAAAACTAGATGGTACTCGAGTTTTACTAGAATACGAAATATGTGGTGTGAAGCACGAATCTCGACAAACGATATTTACGTTTTACTGGAATCAACGTTTTTTTTTTCTGTCTGTGAGTTTTAAATTTCACATTTCGAATGATCAGTTGGTTGAAATAGAAAAGTAATTGAAAGGCAGACATGGCAAAATTCATCACTATGAGACCTCTATCACGCATAAGGCTGTCCCTTTATGTTTATTTTACTTTGAAAAAGTAAAGTAAAGAAACCCTAGTTTATTATAAAAGTAAGGTGAAGTAAAACAGGATAAAGTAGAGCATGCAGTTGTTTATTATTGACTGATTAGTGTATCATTACACATTCTCATTAATGACATTCCAATATGTAAAAAGTTGTGTCAAATGAGGTGTATCAGATTATGCACCAGACGTCCTTAAGAATTGGGACACAATTTTATTATTCTGAGAATTACATATAGCACTGAACGCTGATTATATTTCATAAGTTTATTTTGTATTTTATCACAACTCAATTTTTTGCATCTAGAATTTCGCTCAGGTATTCAAATTTTTTTTTCTTGTCATTCTATTGCAAGTCTTTATAGTTTGATAGGACTAGATACTGTGATTAGAAATATCACACTTTTTTCAAAACTATGCAGATAATACGAAAGATCTTAAGTGTGACGATAAATGATAGAATGGATGTTAGTGCTGATGGAGTTACACTTTATTCTAATTATTCATATCATATAATCGTATCTTTTACATACAAAGCACACGCTTATATACGCAAGTACAAGAAGAGAGGATGAAAAGACAGGAGATGAGGCTAAGGAGAGGGCAGATATAGGAAAACAATAGAGTAAGGACAGATGCACAAGAATAGAAAGGTAAGGACAATGTATAATATACGAGTGAGTGAAATTGGAAGGTTACATATCATTATGAAACCCAATGAACGAAGAGCGTTACATTAAGCACATTCCAAAAGCCTTAAAATTCCGTTTTTGACATGAAAGTTCGTTAAAATGCGATCACATTTCGTCAAAAAAAGATTCATATGATGCAGAAGTATTTTCTCTATCAGAATCTATAAGAACTTATTAGATATCGAAATTTTTTCTATCGATAAATATCGAATACTGCCCCGATCGGGTTCTTTTGTTGAAAATAATGATTTTTCCACTCTTATAAAATTATAGTTTTGCAGGATGTAACAACGAAGTTTGTTTTACCCAATATCTAATTCAATGTGCTCTTTCTGACGATATTATTTTGAACTTGATATTTAATGTCTGGTAAAGCACTTTTGTTCGCAGTATTATATCTGAAAGTCAATTTGCGTATTTTTCGACTAATATTCGACGAGTTTCGAGTATAAGATACTTCATTTACCTCAAACAAATGTTATATTATTTGAGATCAGTGCAAACAACTGAGTGGACTCATGCACTTTTCAAATTGTTTTCCTGTCTGTCCAAGCGTGACGGAATCACTTTTTGTTTACCTTATGTTTTCGATATCTCAATGAAGTGAAGTCGGATAGGGGTGACATATCCATTGATTACGAAAGTCAGATTCTCCTACATATGTTGAAAATTTTATAAAATTTCAAGTTTCCATTCTTGCTTTATGACTGACATATAGGTATGTGATGTAATCATCAAAAACGGACTTGAATTTTGACTGCTGTTCAAAGAAGGAAAAAAATTAGTCAAACTGTAAATGTAATGAAAAAACTTTCTCTGGAAAAATTAGAGCCTAGATGGCTAATACAGTATATAAAAATTAAATGTTTGTTTATATCAATAAGTGATACTCTGTAATATGTTGGTCATAAAATTACATTATTTTTTTCTTCATTTTAATCATATATTTTGAATCCGTACTCTTTCCGCATAGTCTAGCTCTTCATCTTTAATTACAAAAGTTGTTCCAGATCAATAATATTCATTCCTACAATGTAAACAATGATCAACAACAAGCTTTACTACACATATTTACAGTCCACCCTATTGAGAAAAAGCATTTGTATAGACTCCAGGAAAATGCGTGACATTTTCGAATTCGAATTCTAATAAATAGGGAGATTAGCCTTTCACCATTTCCTAGAGGATCCTTTGGGCTGTCTTTTACATATTTAAAACCAATGAGTCACTATGAACATTATGGTAACCACGTTCATTTTTATCAAAGATTGATAGAGTACTCCAAGCTCTACACAACGGTGAAAACCGCAGGTTCATATTTCGTTTTGTTGTCGAGTTATTCAAAAAATTGTCACGCGCACGGCCTTTTTTGGATAGTCTATAGTTAAATGATATTCTGATGTTGTTCAGTTTTAAGTTTCAACAGTTCCCACAGAACTGTTTTAATAGTTTTCTCTTGAAATTCGTACTGTCAGAAACTATCATTGAACTACATAGTTTCACTTACAAATACAAACTAATAAAATAATACGAATAATTTTTCAATTGATATATCTGTTGAAAGCCAATATCCGTTCATAAACAACTTATGTTTTTTACTGTTTTATTTTATTATCATAATATTCAGATTTTTACATCATTCATTTTTATTCAAATCATCAATATAGAATTCAATTTGCAATGAAGGAAAATATCGATAAACGTCTTTTGGAAACACTATTAACTCTTCAGCAATTAATCGTTTCACTTTCGAACAATTGTGTCGCGTCGCATCTCTTGTAAAGTTCATTGTTACTATTTTCAATTGGTCATAATTGACTTTTAATTCAGTTAGACGAGACAAATGTGCCTTTGTTTCAAACAGAAATTGTGCAATATAATCTAGATGCACACGCATGATGTTAACTGATGTAAAATGAGAATATTCAATAATTGAAAATGTTGAATTATTATCATGTGTCCATTCATTAACATCCCATGCAAGGGGAAACGGTGTAGTTTAAGTCGAAAATTACTCCAAAGAAAAAAAAGTAGTTGAAAGTACGTTGAAGTGACGCAAATTTACTTCAAGTACAAAAGTACGCCGTTTCCCCCTTGGGTAATCGTCCAGTTAATAGAGCTGCTCGACTAACACTGCAAACCGAAGCTAAATAATCAAGAAGTACAGTATCATGTGTATTGGGATGAGAGCCGGGCAAACGTTCCGACAAAGAAACAACTTGGGAAACAGAGTATGGTTGTAAGTGTAGAACTAGCCACACTGAAGTAAAGCCGTGTAGTAGTAACATGACCATCATATTTTAGCTGACGAATGTAATAAGTGATGAAATAGTGTCATACAGAAAGCGCATATCAACACATTTCTTTTGTTTTGTGGTGTGAGTGTCGATAATTCAGAAACGAATAATCGGTCCATATCTACACCCTTGAATTTTCAAAAGATATGGTGAGATAAAATTAAAGCAATTTTTCTCAGTGAGAACACATAGTAGAAAAGAACTTACCCGACACATCTCTGTTGAAAATGTCACACTCATCAAAAACATATGGTAGTGGAAGAAACTATTTCAACAAAATATGAACGATTACAACCACCAGCATCTTGCCTGTTGGATCATACATTTATGATAGGATTCAATTATAAGAAAAACTTTCAGAAAAGCTTTCTAAAGGCGGAAACTGGTATAAGTCTTCACTTGCGAATATCTGTAAGAAAAACTACGCTGAACTGAAAGTAGAAATTTCCGATAGAAATGGCTGTCTGCGAAAGTTTGTGAACAGGGTCTGCTAAAAAACATTAGCCCCCTTCCACTCTCAAAAACAAACGAATCTTAAAAATACCGAATAGAGTGTTTTTTAATTGTTTATCAGTTTAAAATGGAGCTGTTGTTGGTTCATGTCTCATTATTGATTGCAACTATGACATTGATGTTCGAAGTCAATAGCGATGTTATCAACAAACATCTTTTGGATTAAATTTCTACTTCGATGGCAAGTATATATCTCAACTGGGTCGACAATCAAAATAGACATCCATCATTAGTTCAAGTACAAGGTTTTACGAATATACAGCTTCCATGGCTTACATTAATGCAAAAAAACGATTGAACTAAATAAAAGAAAAGTCATTTGACGTAATTCTGTCTAATCCTTGAGCTTGATCGCGAGCAGCTTGAGTTTAAATGAGCTAAGTATAAGGCAACCAACAAAATATGTATGGAAACTAATCGAAATATTTGCATCATGAATCGTTTGCTATGTTTGTATTTGTTGAGTCATATAAAATAAATTTATGTTCAAGAGTAGGCCAACACTGTGGTTGAGGTTGCAAGAAAGTCTTGTTTTCACTGTTTTTCTCAGGGATATTGACTTAGCATTAGCATTTTATGAAATTAATACTGACTGCAATGCTTTGTATTAGAATCTTCATAAAAGAACAATTGCAGTTAGTATTAATTAAATGTAGTACCAATGCTAAACTGACACCCCTAGCTCTTTCAATGGAAACTGATCAATCTTTTGAAAAAATAACTGAAAACAGATGAATTGGATTAATGTTTCGAAATTTAGTCACAATTTACTTGTGAATTGATTCAAACCCAACCTTAGCCAACGGCATCTTGTTTCAGAAGAAGTCACACTACTTCGTATTTTTTCTAGTCCACGTGGAAAGTTAGTAGCACGAGTATTAAATACAACGACATTTAGTATCGGCAAACTCTGTGTGCAATACATATCGTTCTACATTGGTATCAAATGGTGGTTCAATGCACATAACCCATTTCAATATGTACTCATTACTTTTAATACAAAATTCATCTCGTAATGGTTGTCTTGGATGGCGATAGTATATTGTGTCAAAAGTCTGATGCCATGCATTTGTATTTGATACATTTTCTAATTCATCATTTTCTATTGCAAGTACACGACCCATAAGCATTTCAGCACATATGACAGCACCATCTCGTCTTGCATTAAACAGGGTATGAAAAATTGAACGAGCAAAATAGATACCATGACCTAACATTTGCGGCCTAGTTGTGCTTAAACGAAAATCCTTGTAAGCAATATTAACAGCTGCTAGAGCATCTGTACGATGACAACCAATGTATGCAGTAGTTAATGGATCTTTGTTTGGAGCATCAGACCTACATATCAAAATGAAATATCATGATGTGTTCCAATGTTCGATCGAGACAAAGCTGTTGTAATTCACATGGCTCATGTCATAATAGAATTTCATTTCAATATGCGCCCATTAAATGACATGGCATAAAGCGTTGATATTTCTTTAAATAACGTTTGTAAAATGGATTTTGATCACATTATGGCAAAATAATGCCACCAAACACGATAATGATAATAATCCAATAATAAAGTTAGTATTGATGATGGTAATGTAATGGCACAAATCCATGATAGTTGTCGTGTTCGACTAGAAAATTCATAACTTTTATACGTTGGTGATGTTGCGTACAAAATAATAGCTAACAGGCATAGACCAATACTAATAGTGATAAATAGAAAAAGTACAAGAAAACGTCATTTGGGACGTGCTATGTAACATGGACAACTGCAATTGAATAAAAGAAAACGGTGAATGAGTTTACTTGCCATTAGATGTCGCAAATGGTAATTGGTACGTGGTTGATGACGACCTGTACGACATAGTCGTAAAATTCGATAACCAAACCAAAGAAAAATAAAAACAATAAAAAACCCATCATGGTTGGAACCAATGAACTAATCCAATCGATAACAAAAACAGCTACAATCTGAGGAAATTTTCGAAATTCTGGTAATGATATAGTGTTGTTATCATTGTTCGATTATCGAATGGATACTTGTCATTGTTATAAGCTTGATTATTCATGATTGTAAAAAATATTCCAACTCTAATAATGCCACATATAACTTCATAAATAACAATAAAACCATGAAGCATGGGTAATGATTTATAAAAACATTGGTACATTTTTTCTATTTCTTCTTTTCTTTTTCGTCTTGTATACACCATCTCACAGCATTAATCATGACAGGAAGAAAATAATGACACTCTTATTAGTGTATTTTTTCCAACTTGATCTAAAGACTAGAAAAAGTGGAAATTATATACGGGAGTTGGAAGTGAAATTAACTCGTCTCTATCGCATGTTCACATCCTAGATAGTAAATATTTTAATTGTTGAAAGACATGGAGACATACGTAATCGAAGAGAAGAAAAATAAAAAATACACGAAAAAAAGAAAATTCCAACTTGAAGGATCGGAGTTTTGATAATATCGTTGATGTCATAAGAGTCAATGGTATCACGTTGATGCGATGGTAAAGACTCGAAAAAATCGCTTTGTTTTAATCAAACAGTAGACAAGAAAATGAAACAATAGAAACGACGATCTACTTTGAAAAAGTCTAATCATATCCATTAGTTATTATGTTGTTATACAGTGTTAGGTATTTACCATATACTGCAGGCTTATTTGGACTTCTGGAAGTTCTTTTGACTCTAATAAAATCAAAATTTGAACTCACTACAGTAAAAAACTAAATACTGATCAATAATGCAGTTGTTTTCCCAAATTTCCCAGGAATTTTAATGCAAGCTTTAATTTGTTATTTGATAAAGCATGTCATCATCTATCTTCTGTGGATACCAAAAGATGCGCGTTTAAACTCTTGTTCAGATGTAACGTCTAAAATGTAGCCTTTTACCGAAATTTGCTGATAATTTGTATGCAGTGATCACTGATGCTTCAAGTCCGTTAAGTTTCGAATAGATAAATAAACCGCGAACATACAACAACTTTAGGTTTTGTATTGACCATTTCATTTTAAAATCGAATTTTCGACTCTTTCGAGGGTCAAACTTAGCATTAAATTTATGACTGAGTATAGATATGATATGAAAGTTTTATTTCATTTTGATGTACCGATCACATCGTAATACATCTTTGATGTTTTATCTTTACTCAGCAATAAACTTGATGCAAAGTGATTTGTTTCATAGTTTAATAAATTTTCCATTCGTAAAAATATACTGAATTCCATGATTTCTTTCGAAGTTTCATCCGAAACAGATGAGGTCTTAAACAGAACTTCAAAAAAATATCAAAAACGCGGAAACCCATTTTAATATACTTCATTCGCATAACATTTATAAACATTTTCTACAACATATCAAAAAGAAATTACTTGAATTTTTTTTTGTCTCACAAACTTCATGGTATTAGTGAGTTCATTTACATGACACAGCTAGACTTGCATCAAAACTGAACATTTGAATTTGGTGAATTTTAACATTTGTTTACTCGAGTTTGGGCACTTTTTTCCATTCTCATCTGTACATTTGAAAAATATTATCTGATGAATAAATAAAAAAAGGAAAAAAAAGAAACTACATCTTCTATATAAGCATTTGCCTGGCTAAAACTATTAATTGAGCTGAAGTGTCACATGTGACTAACATCGCAAAAAAATGCACCTGCGGAGTCAATCATCATTAGAGATTATATGACTTTCAAGAAATGTTAGATTATCAAGTATGTTTCAATTTGTCCCTCTTATAGGCAAAATTCTAGTTCTTCTGAGTTGTATGCATTGCCTGCTTACTAAGTTTTTTATAATTTGCTATAAAATGGGTTTTTCCAAGTAATGAACTAACTAGAACACATGCTTTCTCTAAAGATTCTTGGCATATACGCATATGTGTGTTCCCTATAACCAAACAGTGAACTTTTCCTCAAAACTCTTAAGATTTTACATTTAGATAATTCGCACGTTAAGATGAATATCAAATGAAAGCTATAAAATGAGATCCAATTTGCATCGATATAATTTTTTTATCGACAAATATTCACAAGTTAGAAACAACATATTGACGATAATCTGCTTCGGGTCCTTAAAGAGTAATCAGCCCATGGTAGATTTATATAACACATAATTAATACCTATATCAACTATATGATTGTGCTAATCCGCAGTTTTCGAACATCGGAAAGCTTTTTTTTCCAGAAATATTTCGAATAAGAAAGGTATGGGGTGCGGATGTGGATCGGGGTGGAGATTGAAATGGATATCTCCTCTTCACAATAACACCCACACCCAAACGTTGTTACAAAGTTCCATGTTCTTATATGACGAATCTTTTCCGAAACTTCGATACGAAGCTCCGTTTTTTTTCTCAATTCGTTCCACAAAATCAAGATTTTTCAAGTGAAAACTCTTTTTTTCGGGATAGTGGAAACGAGTTCCACTAATAGTATTAACTATTTCGAAATTTTCGTTGTATCGATGATTAGTAGTAAAAATTTAAAATAACTATGAAGGAAGCTAATCAAAATCTTAGCATAAGCGTAATATGAGTTATACAAAGTATGCTTATCATTTTCATTTTCCATTTTTCCAACAGCAATGATAAAATTTTAATAATTATGCTTTGTCATTTGCATTCTTATCAACATCTAGATAGTAAGTATTGATATAGTCTGTATATGAAAGAAAAGAAAACTTTGTGATCATTGAATCTCTGTTTATTTGCTCGATATACCATAAACTATTTCACAAAAAAAAATGATAGAGAACAGCATGCTGATGTTATTATACTTATTTTTCTAATGACAATAAATTATAATCAATGATTTGTTTTTAAANAAAATCACGCTCATTTTGCAACATAATTGCATCATGACTCTGAAAACCGCTAAAAATGATGGTTTTCTATTGAAAAATCATGAAAATCACTAGAAAAGAGAGAGTTATGAGCGTCATTTTGCTGCGAAGGTACCATTTTTTTTCTAATATTTTTTTACCATTTCGTAGAGAATCAAAAGCTGTATAACATATCAAAAATCCAGAGTGGTCCGATTTGTTTTCGAAAAATGGCGGCAGATATACTGTTAAAAATCGCATGTCATAAACTCATAAATCGTGCCAGTTTGTACTCATTTTGGACTAAAAAATCAGACTAAAAAGATAATATACAATATTTTAAATAGCTCATTTTGTTCAGCTTTTGATTCTCTATCTTTTGGTATATTACATAAAGAAATTCTATAACTAGTAGGAAAAAAATCCTGATTGACATTTATAGAGTGATTTATGCCTATTTTTCGAATAGTAGGTAGTGAGTGCTTAGCAGTCGAATCAGTCTAATTTTTCTATAGTACATCCAAATGATCTAAAAATTTGGATTTGGTGGTTTTCAATGATGCTGAACAAGATGAGAACCTCGAATCAAAAATCTAAATTTTATGCAGTGCCTCATATACTGGGACGATGCTCGGTCCTCACATGAACGCTCTCTTAAGGTAATTATTGAAAAAAGTCATGTTCAAAAAGACGTCTATTATAAAATGTCAAATTAGTAAGAAATTGAAAATGCTGACTACGAATACTATTAGTAAGATACATGAAACGAGTCATTTTCAATGATAATAAATAAGTATGACAATAAGTGTATTCATCTAAGAAAGGATCAATACAACAATTAACTAAAGAATATTTTCAATGATTAAATGTATTTTGAATATCAGTTGTTGATAAAAAGTAATTTGTAAACGATTTCATAGTAAATACATTATCTACGGTCATAACAGCAATGTATATGATCAGCTTTCAGAACCAAGGAACAATCAGAAATCCTTCTAATAATATGATTAAATAGATATTCATTATATGATGATAATAAAAGATTCTTCTTTACCTGTTAAATAATCTAACAGTATGTTTTGGTGGAAAAATTACAAAAGTGATGACACTAAGATTAGGATATTGGCAAGCAAAGATAACACATTCCATAAGATGTAATGCAAGACTAGGTGCTTCAGTTTTATGATGTACGTGAAGAAATATTTTATGCCAGAATCGACTAAGTTTAACAGGAGGATATGGGTGTGGATGTGGACGTATGTGTGAATGTTACTGTGGCTGTGATTACTCTTGCCAACTAAAATCATGCACACTCACACTCATCAACAATTAAAAACAGAAATGTTCAATAGGAACTAAAGTCGTGCAAAAGTTATTTAGGATAGCAGTCGACTGTGCTTCAAACTATGTACATTGATCTGGATTTTGATTCAATGAAATTTTGTATTCAAACAATGAATAGCTAAGTTGTATTATCCTATGAGTGTAATCTGGATGATACAATGCTGATTGATTAATAGCATTGTTTCGTTTTGCATTACTCGACAGGGTTTTACTTTGGTACGATATCCACGCATCCAATTGTAAAATCATTAATGAACAGATAATTGCCAATAAGGTAGTTGCTATAACCAAAGACTGTCGGAGTCAAACTAATGAATATTAGGTTGTGTTTGTCTCGATTGATCTGATGAAGGAAAGCATGTCGATACGATATTTTCCTGTGCAATAGCTAGCCTTTACTTTAGGCATTGCATTTAATAATTTACCATTCATTGCTACCGTTTGAATAAATGATTTTATCGGCTCATATTCATTCAAGATGATAGCCATATACATTGAAATAACTGGAGAAAATAATTTCACTGCTCTAATCGCCTTTCTCTTGATTAGCATCTGTCATCTGATCAGTGAGCAACAACTAGCACTTTCGTTATCCGTTAAAATGTATCCTATATTTGACTCGATTGTGTAACATACCTATACGTCCATTGATAACTGTTTCTCCAGCATACATGGTCGTGTCACATAAGCATTGAAGAAGGGTCATCGATTATTGTCTATTTATATTTCATCTAGTCTTTCCTTTGTGTAAATCAGATCTTCTAGGAACTTCTCTTTTGCTAATGTCAATTTCAATCTAACCGCTTCGATAAATATATTTTCTGACAGTTTTTACTATTTTTTCACACACTGTTCACTGCCAATTATGAGAAGGTTATGTAAATGGGAAGATAAAATTATCTACCGCAGCTTCAACGCTATTTCATGAACAAATCTATGCTACATTAGTTACTTGCCAACATTGTAATATCTCCGGAAAAATGCGAAAAAATGTCAAGTATTCTTGCAAAAATCGAAATGAATTTTAGTCTTTACTCTCATGACTAGTTTTTCAGCCTTTTTTTTTAAAGAATTTGATGACGAAAATGAAAGCTAAAAATGCTGAATGTAAAGATGCTATGCTTGTAAAACTCGATATTAAAAATTCATGAACAATCTTTAATATTGTGTTTTAATTTTTCGAAATTTTTGCTAAGAGTCAAAGTCTTGGCTACACCATTTCGTGTTCACGAAATTTCACTTGTTTTTGAACAGCGAGCGTGCCGAGATGATGAAAAAAAGCAAACACGTGCGATACACCGAATAAAACACCAATAAGAAGACATTTTTATTGTAAACTGTTAGCGACTCACCTTTGTAAACATTTTTTCTATCAAAAACAGAACAATTCAATGCATCGTTTTACACCAAGATATTATTCAAAACAAAAGTGTGTGTGAATAAACCATTTTCAGACCATTCGATCTCGACTATTGTAAAATACAGAAGTTTAAGAAAATCTAACGCTTTCCACGCAGTAGATCAACAAAATTCAAATCAGGTGACTATGATGAATATAAACGACTAATCTACAGCATTCTTTCAATTCATTTCGATCTGTGTATAAGACAATCACGGTAAAATCAATGCAAGCTACAATAGTGCTACAATAATAAAATATATTGTTAATCTTTTGGAGATACTTATGATGTAACTGTAAGAGTTTTTTTTTCTTAGTTTCACTGTTTTCCACATTAACACTCAATATTTACTCATATACAATTGCATATATCTCTTCAATTACGTTTTCTAAGTCTGTTGCACTACGACAATATTAGTATTTGACGGCGACAAATTTTGACGTTGGCACAAGAATTTCGATGTAATGCATAAATCTTCAATCTGATGAAAACGAGAAATAACTACGCAAGCCATATCTAGGTTAGTCAAGGCTCGTGGCCTTGTTGTCTATGATGGTTAAATATAAATATTCTTGATTTGGAAACACATAATAATCGAAAATTAATCGATGTCTTCGAATTAATTTCAACTAAACTTTCAGAAAGTTCTTCCCTAGTTGAACTTGATTCAAAGCAATTCAAGTTAAAAAAAATCAGGCATTAGAGAAATCTTACACTATGTCGTATTGTTAGATTCTTGAAAGACCTTTCCGTCACGTAAGATATCCTATTATCTTGTAATCATATATTACAAGGTAACAATACATTTTGAAAGTCTTATAGTACGATTTAGAGTAAGATTTTTCAGACTACAGATTTTGTCTAGTCTTACAAGATCAGAGATATAATCTTCTAAGATCTTATTTTTTGATTTTTTGACTTGGAAACAAAATTGCTAAAATAGTTATAAACATAGAAACTTTGTTTTTTTTTGCTTGTAATTAAGAGCATTTTGAAATGACTCGAAAATCTATAGTTGAAATTCTAATGAGCATAAATCGCATTTTTAGATGAATCTATTGAGACATTTAGTTAAATATTGTCAAACAACTTTGGAAAGATTCAAATGAGAAATTTTTCATGATCTATTAATAAAAAAGTTTCAACAGTCATATTGATAAGATTAATTGTCAATGAAAAAAGAAAATTTTGACTAAACTAAACTTGATTTGTGATTAAATTTAATTTAAGAAATAAATCAATTGATTGAATTCTATATTGACAAATTATTATGAAACGGAAAATTGATCATTTTCTTTTATTGAAATTTGATTGAATAGGTTGAAAAACTTGTTGCCGTAGATTATCTAATAATGTTTTAACACTATATTGGCAATAAATAGATATTATCATTAACGATATGGATGTACAGTGCTGGAAAACTCAATTCAGCTCAGTTCATCACATAAAAAAGTTCCTTTTTCTTCACATTAGAGTATAACTAGAGTTATATACTACAGAATGATTTGGAGTATTTATTCTGTAAGAATAGCAGATGACAAGAGAAAGTCATACTTGAATCAAATACCATTGAACAAAAGATGAATGTATTATAAGAGATATATGTTTAACAATAGATATCATATTAGCCCACCCGAACAAATCCCATGCATGATATTGTCCTAGTGGATAAAGATAATTGAACATTGTACATATTACCTGAAAGAATTGGAAGATCTATCGATAAGTTCAGAGCATGGGTACATAAATTATATGCCATCGTCAAAAAAAAATAAAAATAAAAAAAAATAGCGATGAATTGATGCAAGTGCAACAGAAATAAATATTTTAAAAAAATGTGAGTACGATTCAGCTATCTCGGGATAAAAGCTCTGAAGAGAAATTACAAAATAAAAAATAGTCATAAGTTGAACTTTTATTAGTTTTATAGTGTAAATTGATGTTATTACAACATTTTCAGAAACTTTCTTTTAGTTGCATTGATTTGAATTTGTAGATTTCGAAAAGAAATTGTCAACTAGTTTCATGAATTGAATTGAATTGAGTTGCTCAGTTCTGAGTGTGTGGATATTGATTTGCGATACGGTCGAACAAACAATGCATAATAGAATCTAAACTTACATCTTTTTTTATGATAAACCCTTGATTTCGAATCAATTTCTACTTGACTTGCACACACATCTTATGATATTTTTGTAATCTGACATAGTACACAGACTGTCACTATGTTACATCACCATTCGTATAGCAAGAATGTAGGTTTGAGTACGACTGAAGACAAGACCTACACTGATCTACAGTGGCACTGTCATGATTATCATACTGTAATTTCCTTTGCTTTCTTACCAATAACTTCGTTTTCAAGAGTGTGAAAGTGTAATCTAGAGAAGTGACACATTCTCAATCATGGTTCGAGAAATCAACAAAGAAAACATCATCAATATATGAAGCAATAATAAAGGCTAGAAATTATTTCCACAAATTGTGCAATCTTACCTTTTTTCAACTAGTATACAAAATAATATGACAAATGAAGACATTGTTTGTTTTTGAATGAAAACAAAAATCCTAATGAAATATTAAATTTAGTTAAAAGTATTTTTAAAGAAATTTTAAAATATTTTCATTTAAATGCTCGTCTTTTCCTATGACAGAAGTTCATGAAAAAGAACGGTTGAGAACGCGTTTTTCAAATAACAAAACGTATTCTTTCACAAAGAACATGTTTCAAAAGAACGCTAAAAACATCTTCAGGACACATTCTGAAAAACCACTTCCAAACACGGTTTATTATTTGAAAAAATGCGTTCTCGATTGTTCTTTTTTTATAAACTATTTTTCATGGACTAATTATCTCAGTAGAGCATCCTATTTTGAAGGAGTACAAAAATCGATTAATGAAATTGAAAATTAGAAATCGAATATTTAACATCGATTTTTCATTTGAGAATAGATTCAGATTCTACACCGTCGAGTTTCGATTAATTTAAAAAGAAAATATATTGTATTCATGACATACAAAAGCTATGTCTTAATATTGACAGAATAAAAATCGAATCAAGATTCTAATAATATACGACGATCTGTTCTCATGACTAATTATTCATAATTATTTAAGACGGTATTTCAAAACAAAAAAGCCAAGAAAAAACCGATCTAATTATTGAAATATTTGAATGAATAATCGGCAGAAAACCATTGTCTTTCAGTTAAAGATTAGAAAAACAGTGCTGGAAAGGACTATAGGTTTCATAGAAAGATATAAAATGGATTATTCTATTGAATAATACTGAAAGATTATTATAAACCAATAAATTCAAACTTGATTTTTTTTATTCTCGTAATAATACAATCAGTTACTTGAAATGAAAATAATATTAATTTATCACGAAAAGTTTATCATCATATGAAATAGCGTTTTTCCTCTTTCGAATATTTCACAATTATGCACTGCAGTTGTTCTTGCTAATGTTTATTTACCAACAACCGACATCTAAAGAATATATGTTATTACAACTCAATTATATCAATTTTTGGCAGAAAGAAAAAAAGATGGGTCTCTCATGGATTGTAGTCAGTCAACAGACAAATTTTCGTAAGTCTAGAACTATAATAGTCTTATATGCAGATACAACAAAATATTTTTATTTGGTTTCTAGTGCAGAGTAGACCGACACATACATCGATAACCGTGATTTCTTTCAGAATCGATATATTTAACATGGATCAATCAGATTTCTTTTATACACAAATTTGAATCTCAGACACATTTTCGTTTTGTTGTTATATAGAGAACAATATATGCTTATTCTCAAAATAACTTGCAGACAGTTATCTTAGTTACATTCGAAAAAAAACGTAAAATACAGCGCTTTTCTTGTATTATTTTACTTCACTACCTGCATCGAATGAGAGACTCGACATGGCCGTATCAGAGCAGAAGATGAAAAGGACAACAAAAATAACCTTGCGATAGAGTATTTGCTGTGTGCGTCATGTCTCAAGACAAACACTTATGATGCCATGTTTTTCTTTCATGCATTTTTATTGGATATGAATTGTGGGGTTTTATACGACAAAAATAATAACATGACGACATACATATACTCACAAATAGTCAACTTATTGTAGGAAAGAAAAACAAGGTAAAATGATGTCATTTGGAAATTGCTTTTGCATTAAAGTAATAACGGCCTATAAAAATACAGTATACACTGTGTGACAGTTATTTATATGTTGAATTGTAATAGAACAAAAAAGTGCTATGGATGAAGCATTAAAATTATTGAATGGATTGAATAATGATCCAATAAAGCGAGCTAAGATCATTGAATATTTACAAATGAAAAAAACCATTGCTGTTTTTGCTTATGCATCATTGATTTGGAATCCATTTGAACATGTCGAACAAATAATTCCTAATTGTTCTTTGATTGATTATACTAAAGGATTTTTATGTCAAGATTTCATCTATCGAGGTACAACAGAATGTACGGGCTTGACAATGGGCTTGAAACCATGTGAAAACAGTTATGTTAAAGGTTATTTGTTGATGTCTGGTATACATCAATCGATTCCATTTATTGAAGCATTCGTCAAACGTGAAACTCCAATAGATAATAATGGCTGCAAAATGGACATTTATACATATGATTTTCTTCCTGTATTGATGCCTGATGGGAATACTATCGAATGGGCATTGACTTGTCTCGTCAATTGTCATAGTCAGTTTTATATATCGAGAACACTTTCAATCGAAGAACAAGCACAAATAATTGCTCGATCTTATGGAATAAATGGATCCAATTTTCAATATTTACACAACACCCTAAATGCCTGTCGAAAATTCTCTTTACTCGATACATTTACAAAAGAAATGAAACAATTATATGGTACTGCTGTACTTTATCGACATAGATTAGTCGAGCAGGATCGGCAATGGCTCGACACATTAGATAAATTGTCAACAAAAGACGAGCGGCAACTAGCTATCAAATCACGAAAGACAAAGCGTATCGGGATAAAATCGCGAAAATTACTTAGTCGGATGTGTTCTGTAGCACCTACAACTATGCCAACATATCATCGAATGTTATCTGCTTAATCACGACACAAATGCCTTGTTTTGTCATTATCTTTCTGCTACAAATCATCTCTGATTTGTTAGACTCAGTCTGATGTGCAATATATCGCTACTACATTATCTATTCATCTTTTATTTTCATGGTTTCTTTTTTAAATAGTAATATTCTTGTAAATGTAATTCTAAAAATTATCTCATAATAACTGGCAATATATTGTCAATCACATTTTTCAAACTTTTTCTTTTCATAGAACGCTAAAATCTTTATCACATTAACTCAATGTATAGGATGATGTTCTCCATCGTTTTCTATGCTCAGCTGTAATCAATATGGTATTTCACCGATCATTTTTTTTGCCACTGTTTTTTCGAAAATTTCTTCGATTGTTTTGCAATTTCTTTTGCTAATTATATCAATATGTCAAAAATTTTCCATGATCGTCTTCATTTACTGCCAGCTACACATTTTCAATTCTCTCCACACATGATCAAATTAAGTATTATTTCCTACTGATTGTCTATGTGTGTAAAAAAATCGTGCTACGAATCATGCAATCAATACTTCGCATTGTCTTTTGACGTTCTAAATTCAAAACAAAACTTTACAAGTCTTTTCTGTTTTCGTAATTGATAGACACTTAACATCAAATCTGCGATGAAATCTGAATAGCCATTGTATTGCGATTTTGACATTGTCAGTTATAATTATAGGGCATCTTTCATATATTCACCTCTACGCGAATCGGCATTTATTTTTATCTGAAGAATACAATAAACTAACTATTTTGATAGCAAAGTAATGTGAAAAAAATCGACACTATGTGGAGAAATATCGTAGTTGGAAAGCGTTGGTTACCAAATTGCGATGCATTATCTATATGATGAAGGCTTTTTCTCCATGCGCAATATTCTGATATAGTCTGAAATATTCCTAGTGAATTCTTGTTATCGTTACAAAAGATATTACCTGTGTAATGTGGGTACCTTCCAACATCGATTATCTAGATATATAGAATCATGTCTTGTGAGTCTCACTCGTTGTACTCACATGCTATCGTTTCAAAGAAGAGCGCCAACATGTTCTCCTTCTAATTGAGAACTTAGACACTGCATCATGTTTTGCCTTCAGGACATAAAACGAATAAACACTCCACGGAATGCAATCGAACTCTTGCGTTTCGAGCGCAATAGATAATTTAAGTGAGAAACTAGTTTTCTTTCACAGAATGACATGAGAGAACATCTGAAGCTTGTTTAAGGTGCTCTTGAACACTGAATTCAAGAAATGACGATAATGTCACTACGTAGTGTCCTGATAGTGATAAATTGATCAGACCAAACTGTCTATCTGTGGAACATGAAGACCATTGTTGAAATTTTTTTGTCATTAACGCCTCACCTCACTATGAACGTAGACAGTTTCGGCTTGTTTCCATTTTCGAGTGTGCACAGTCAAAAACAGCCGTCCTTGTTCAACCTGATTCAGCTTAACGAGTAGCACCGGAGACCTATTCAAAGTCAAGTTTGAGGTTCAATAATATGTATTTGGACAAGATCAACCGATATCTCTTTTTTGCCTACTGTTTTATTCTCTAGTTTACACATTTTTTGTGAGGAATCTATTTGAAAAAACTATACTCGAGAAAAGCAGATAATCATCAAAATCGAAAAGATATGATGTTTTAGAACAAAAAATGTATTTTTTTTCTGATTGAGAATAGAGAGGAAGTTTTTTTACCTTTATTATTCTTTTCCCTTCTGTTGATCAAATATAATCTGGACGAAAATTTTCAAGGATGCAAAATAAAATGATGTTTTTGTTTTCGACATGACTAGCATCAGTAAAAGATCATATTAAATGTGCAAATTTTTCATATATAAGACAATTTGCTTAGAATTTTATAAAATTTTAATGAAACATTTTACTCTTGATCTATTAATTATTTATCAATTGAAATCCTAACAATATTGACTTATAATTATTCTCCTTGAGAAACATTTTTATCAGACAACGAAAAATGTGATGATATAATAGAACATTCTTTATCTTAAATGTTTTGTACAAAAAACTTTTTGCTGGTATTAGTTGAAAATTTTCAAAATAAGTTTCAATTGTTTACAACCAGTGTTATTTGCAAATAATTGAACAAGAAAATTTTTTTATGAAAAATGATTTATTCCTTGTTGAAAATAATGCCGTTTACATAATTCTTTCAAATCTATCTAATTCTGCACATATATAGACTTCATCTATATAAAGTTTACTACGAAATGTTTGTATTAAAATTGTATTAACATGTGTTGTATGAATACTTGTTTAATTTGCAAATTCGTCTGAACGATAATCAGTAAATAAATACTCTTGATTATAGACTTCATATATGTTCAATACAGCTTGATCATGTTCATTATTATCCGTGTTGTCTAGCAAATGTTGGCAGACGGAAACGTTTTGTTTTCAGCAGATTCTTATAAATTTAATTTAGAATTGATTGTTAAAGATTTAATTTGTTGAGAAGAAATAATCTTTAATAGATTAGATGCAGTAAATAATAAAAATAAAGCAAAAGTCGACCAACTTGAAAAAAATTGAATTAAGTAAAACGTTAGACATACTGATGCGAAGGAAAAGTATTTCTTTATCGAAAGCAGTCAAAAAAAAACTATATCTATACTTTTTAATACATAAAAGATATGCTGGAATAAGCTAATATTCTGTAAAATAGTCTTTACAGGCCTTTATGGACTTAAGCAATAAACCGTTAGGTCACTGCTTATACAGCTTTTTCAACATTTCTGTTTGGTTTATACCTTGCCTTAGCGTGACAGAGAAATTTTTTCGAGTTTATCAATGGTGTCATTGATTGGCGCTGATGTCAATTGTTTGAAGCTCAATAAAGAATATATTTCCAGCATGCAAGGGCATATCCATTATTTCTATGATTATAATATGATTGATGCTTTACACATTCAGTTCATTGGGCAACGTTTTATATACTTCATTAGCCGTTCCAATCGTCAATTAGACCGTACTGAGATTTTTCACTGACTTAAAAAAAACAAGAATAAATTAATCGATTCAAAAGTAGCATGATCGAACTATTCTTATTCGTAACTTGTTCCTAGTTTATTCATCATTCTCTTTTTTCCAAAGTTTACCATCAAACGAGCACGATCATTTATTGTTTTTGTCAAAATGATCTGTTAGACTTCATATCAGCTGACTTGACTCATTTAGATTGACTCATGAGCATGATAGTTTTACTTTTCTCATCATTTTCTTAATAGGCATATCAGCTATAGGCTATTCTGAAAGCTTCATTACCGATCGCAATACTTGTGAACTTCAAAGGGCTCATTGGCAGCTGCTGGAATCCACTTTATTCTTTTGATTTGATGATGCTTCTTTCTTTTCTTTTCGTTTTGAAATCTTTTTTTTTTTATCTGTTGTTATGATTTGTCATAAGCTGTATGACAATCTAAATAACATTCATTATTTCAATGTCATTAGCTTTTTAGTTAGTGACCATTTCGTATCATATCACCAAAATATATTTATTTTTATCAAAATCAGTGAGATTATTAAAATTGAAAAATTAAACAACACTCAGTCAATAATCACTCTTCACTTTCAACGAAGGTAAAAGAGAATTTACACAAGAAAATCATTTTTTTCTAAGGAAATTCTTTCTCTCATGAAGATTAGAATGAGAAAAATGGTGCCATATCCTTTAGATACTATCGAGACATTGATTGCTGCCAATAGACAACACTACAGGAACAATTGTTTATTTTGGATCTAAACATCGATGAATCACTCAGAGCAAGACGCAGAGAACAGCCGAAACTACAAATGGAAGAGAGTCATCATTGGTCATTAACTTGTTGTTATCGGTACTCATGAACATTAGGGTGTGGGTGTGGGTGTGGGCATTAAGATAGGGAAGAGCACACCCACACCCCCAAACGGAATAAATGATGTATACCTGACAACGTTTCCTTCTGATCATGTTGAAATATATAACAATCATAGGTTTTTCTTTGTTATAGAAGAGAAATGGAAGCAGCTCTAGCATCCCTTGCTCCGTCGAATGTCGGTACAATCGGTGTTATTTGGTTGGATGCTTCAGTAAACGACACAGAACAGAATTTAAATGCCCAACAATTACTTCGTTCATCCTTCAGTTCTTTGAAGACATTCACCTATCAGAAAAAGTGCGAAAATAACATCCGATCGGTTTCCGAAGGAAATCGGATACTTCTAATCGTAGGAGGTCGATTGGGTCGAGAAATGGTGCATCGTGTTTAGGAACTCAAACAAATCTCATCAATCTATGTCTACTGCATGGACAAGAAATACGAAGAGTGGACTAAAGGATTTAACAAAGTGAGTACAATGCTGATCATCTATTGAACAGTAGTTGTGGACAGATAACTGAACAGATGTTGAAAAGAGTCGTGTAATCCTATGTAGAGCAAAATTCTCCATCATGTGCGCTGAAATCACTAGTCTATGCCAAACCATAAACATTATTGTCTGTGGAAATTCTAAAAAGAAAAGTGTACTTTAGGGGAGGTGGATATCAAATAGACACTCACTAGTAACCAAAAATATATGTCCAGTCAGAAATCTTCATCTGATATTTCAGGTAAAACATGTGACGGAAGAGTTAGATGATCTGCTTGGTCGAGTTTTGTCGATGCAAGAATCGAAACTCGAGAACCATTCTACTGGCAGTCGACTCAGCGAGCCAATCTCAATACATACATTTCATTCAAATAGCAATCAAGAACAATCGACATTGGAAATCAATGGCCAATTTGTTCATTTTCAACTACTTAACGATTGCGTACTTGAAATAAGATCACTTCCGACGGGCATAAATGAATTTGTTACTTATTGTAAGAAAAACTATTCGGATAATGAATCTCAGCTAAAGATGATTCGAGAATTTGAAACAACTTATTCTCGTGGTCAAGCTTTGCACTGGTACACAAATGATTCTTTCATTTATCGGCTATTGAACAATGCTTTGCGCACGCAGAATGTCGATTTACTCTATCTGTTTGGGTTTTTCATTCGAGACCTTCGTTGGCAACTCGAGCAGAACCGCTGTTCATCAGTAATACGTGTTTTTCGTGGGCAATGGATATCTAATGATGAATTGCAAAGATTAAAAAGCAATGCTGGACAGCTAATCTCGACCAATTCATTTCTTTCGACTAGTCTCAATCGAGATATGGCACTTTTTTTCATAGGAGACCCTCAGGCATCAAATAATGGTTTGAAACCAGTTCTGTTCGAGATCAATGTCGATCCTCGACTCCCAGGGACAAAACCATGTGCCCATATTGTCTCCTTTAGTGACATGCCGGACGAAGATGAAGTATTGATGATGTTAGGAACCGTCTTCCGGCTAAATCGCACAGAGCATAACAATGGTGTATGGATTATTCGAATGGTATTGTGCAGTGATAATGATCATGACGTTAAAGCTATCTTCGATCACATGAAACATGAATACCATCGTGATGGTAACACTCATGCAGGCTCATTTTGTCTTTTACTAGCTCAGATGGGGAAGTTCAATGAGGCTGAACGATACATTCATCGATTGCTAACCGACACTGCCGCCTAATGATCGTAATGTTGCTGCTTGTTATGAAAATCTTGGTCAAATAGCGATGCAGCAAGGGAACTATGACTTGAGTCTCGACTGGTATCTCAAAGTGCTCGATCATAAAATGCAACTACAAAAGCTTGATGATCCTTCGATGATGACCATTTATATCGATATTGGTGACATTCATCTACTCAAAGGTGAACATAAACTCGCCGCAGAAGCGTTTCAGAAAGCAGAAGCAATCAATGGAGGAACAGATTATGAGAATAAAAAGAAAATGGACCTATGTTACAGCAATATGGGTAATATCTGTATAGCAGAAAAGAATCCAATAAAGGCGTTGGATTATTTTCACAAAGCATTGGCCATTAAACAACAATGTCTACCGGAAAACCATTACGACTTGGGCGGTAATCACTACAATATTGCTTGCGCTCACGGAATGCTTGGTCACACGGATCAAGCACTGAACCATCCTGATGTTTGTGAAGTAGAGCGCAGCCTTCAACAAGCATGGAATCAACTGAAATAAAATTCTCTTGCTCGAAAGTAATATCTAGGTAGTTGTTTATACCAACGATGACGAATGAAAATTTTTCAAAAAGCTTTGTTCTCTCTAAATCGCCTGTAGAATTTGTCAGAGTGGTATAGGTGTAGGTGTGAGTCTGGTGACGGTTGGAAAAAAAGCTCCACATCAACACCCACACTCACACTCCCATCCCCATCCTGTAGTTCCTCTCTCTGATATACATGTCAGAATGAAAATTTCATTTAAACTACATTCCAGTATTGTAAATTTTTCCAAAAGATTCCCAAAAAAAGATTGTTAGATAATGATTTCATCTTGTATAATATTATATCAAAACATATCCTAACTCAGCGTCTTTCAATTAGTGAAAACCGCAGATTACTAGCTATTGCCATTCTCGATAATATTCGTCTTGCACCAATCCATATTTAACTCTGGCGCCAACATTAGTTTTGAGAACTCTTCGACATTTTTATTTTTGCTTCAGGCTGATAAAATAATAATCAATTAATCATCATGATGTCGTTCAATACAATATTACAATCAATCTGGAATTTTTTACCTATTTGTTTTTGCTAAGCACGGTTATTGTTTGTTTCTTATTAAATATAAGCTTAAAGTCACACTCGATGTCTTTTAAAGTGCTGATGATGATCGTATTTAATAAAACAAAAAAGGTCAAAAATTTTAGATTGATTAAAAAAATTATATTAAACTGCATTATTTCGATTAATAATTTACTATTATATTGCTAGTATTAAAGTTTTCTTTCAAATTTACTCATTGATAAAATAATATTCCATTTGTAATGTCTTCTATTCAATATAGTTGTACCTGAAGATCTTCAACTTAGCTCAAAAATACATTTATTGTGATATTCAATTTTCTTGTTTGATCTTGTAAGATTTTTATGAGAAAAAGTTGTTCATTGAATTGTTCTTTTTTAGAAGTAGATAATAAATTAATTTTAACGTATTTCAAAGAGATGAAATCCGTGAGATAATTGTTTTCTAATATTCAAATCCTCAAAAAGGAAAAAACAGGATTTGAATCATATTCTTTTCGTGTACTTTTGCTGTCGCTGCCGTCACCACAACACGGCAGCTTTTCTTCGGAGAGATTGTCAAATTGCATGAATTTGCACCGAATTTGAGTGTCTACAAGTCTAACAGTCAAAGTCTTGGCGAATCTCTAATGATAGACTCAATCTCAATGTGCTAATTTAGCACAGTGGCGGAAGTATATTTTCTAAGAACTTCTCGAAAACCTTCGCGAACACGGCAGATTTCCAGCCATGATGAACATCTATGTGTTAGAATGATCAGTGTAAGTTCCTAAAATTTGAAGTTTTCTGTTGTATTTATTATTTCTTGTTCGTGATAGATTTGCTGTTTGTATCTTATTTTCTTAATTTTTATTCTTGGATAATTCGCACTATATTTGTAACGATTCTGTCACTTACTCTGATCTATATAACCAACAATATGTAGATAATCGTTATCAGAATTATACGTATTCACTGATCAGAAAAATATGTGATTGAGAACGAAATAATATTAATTTGCTATACTTGTGTAAGACAATGATATTTACGATGACTATTTATGTTTTAGCATCATATTTATTTAAAAAAGAGAAGAAAAATATGAAATAAAACATAAAGTAAAAGTACATGTTTAGTTTAATGAGACAAAAAAAACACACTGTTTTAAAATGCATATGAAATGAAACGAAAAAAAAAAGAAAAACAAGACAAATCTTTCAAATACTGTATTCTCTTGATGTAGTACTAGTTGTTGTTGTTGTTGATGATGATGATGATGAATTCGATGATTGATTTGGAAGTGATGGTGGTGCATCAATTGTATCATAAGTTAAATATGTTGACTGTAAATTAGCAATAGGTCGTCGTGCAAATGATTGAACACTTTTTTTAAAATTATAATGACTTGATGGTGAATGAAATGTTGTAAGATGAAGTGATTGTTGTTGTTGAAAAGTATCATCAATATTTATAGTCGATGGATGAATATCTAGATTTTCGATTTTATTATTATATATTGATTGCTTTCGTGGAATTGGAACAGCATAATCAACACTAGTTGAACTAAGACTTGATGAACGATGTTGTGGTGTAAGAAGAGGTCTTGTAACACCATGTGCACTTGAACTTGATCTTGATAAATCATTACTTCCATAGCAACTATCTTCTGAACTAACAGCACTGCCTGAGGCTTTAATATCATCATATGGTTCAAGATGATTATGTTCAGTCAAGTTCTAAAACATTGATAGAAAAAGAAAAGAAAGGAAGAAAAAAAAGATTATGTAACTTAATACAAAATATGAAACGATGCATAAAATATGCCTGTTCTACTCGTCTTATTTGCTGCCATTTCCCTTCGGATCATTTCAAGTTAATTGGCTTCGATGTGTGGAAGATGTACTCACACATCAACTCGCTTCACGACTAATTTCCGTGATGTAGTATTAAGAGAAAGAGAAAAGTTAATTGCTATAAAAGAAGTATTTTCTTTACACGCACATTGCGCAATCAAATATTGATTCTATCTAATTTTATAACTATTTTAAAAGCCATAATAGGAATGCTTATGAAGTATGTTATCAATTGTTTTATTATTTTTTTTTCCTTTCGCACAGACATATGATTATCAATTATTTGATTTAAATGTTAAATAATCATCTAACCTTTTTCATTGAACGAATGAAAACGATTTATAATGAATCGTTTACTAAAGAAGAATTAGAAAGATAATTCTTATATGCGTGAAAACAGTTTCAAGGCAAACAAATACTAAAAGATTAAAATAGAAAAGAAAAAGAAGACCTTCACAGCATAAATTAGATGACATGATATAACTTGTAAGTCAGCTTACTTTGCTTGTCGATGAGAAAGTATTAGTATTAGTTGTTGAAAGAAGTTTGTCAGCATCTGTTGATTGAAGTAATTCACACTGTGTTTTTAATGATGATCGATGACTATGATGATATCGTTTTTGTTTACAAAAAACAGCACATAAAATACCCATTGTAATACTGAATACTAATGTAAATATTGATGATATAATAATAATAAGAAAAAACATTTCATTTGTTAACTTATTTTCATCTTCAATTAATTGTTTTTTTGGAAAAATTTCTTCTGAATAATATAATTTTTCAATATGTTCACCAATTTTAATATTTACAATTATTGTTGAACATTTTTCAATATATTCACCTTGATCACATACATTTATTGTTAAGCGATGATATCCTTCTGGTAAATTATTTGTATTTGCTGTTATTGTTCCATTATAGAAATTAATTTGAAAATAATCATTTTCATTACCATCAATAATTCTATATGTTAAATTTCCATTTTTTTCTGAATCATAATCATTTGCAATTATTCTTGTTATTAGAATTATTTTTGATACATTTGTTTCTAATAATTTACTTGATATATAAATAGATGATGGTGTATCAATAACCGGTGAATTATCATTAGTATCGATTAATTGAATCATTATTAATACACGATCAGAATGAAGATCATCATTATCTTTAACTGTAATATAGAAACGATAGGTTGAACAAATTTCATAATCAAGTAAAGCTTTTGTACGTAATTGACCAGTTAAGAAATCTATATAAAATACATTTTGCTCATCCATAGATGTTAATTCATAATGAATGATTGAATTTGAATCTAAATCGATAGCTTTAACTTGACCAACTAATGTTCCTATGGGAACATTTTCTAATACTTTAAATGAATATGATTCTTTGTCAAATTTAGGTTTATTATCATTAATATTATTAATATGAATTGTTAATGATTGTAATGTTTCTAATCGTTTAGGATAAATTCCATGATCAGATACATTTAATATTAAATGATATGTTAATTTTGATTCGTAATCAAATGAAATATTTTTAACTGAAAGTATTCCAGTTTTAGAATCCATATGAAAAAATCGAGAATCATTCGAAAGTAAAAGTGAATAAGAAAGAAGACTATTTGATGTATTTGGAGCATCACAATCTCGTGCATGAAATTGAATAAGTTGAATATTTGAAGGATTATTTTCATTAATATTAATTGGTGTTGGAAATGGATCAAGTATTGGTGAACAATCATTTATATCGATTAAACTAATTGTTATATTTTTTTGAGTTGTTAAAGATTGTTCTGTACCTTGATCTTTGGCTTCAAAAATTAATTTATATTCTTCTTGTTGTTCTCTATCAAGTTTACCAATAATAACTAAATTATATAAATCATTATATTGTTCATTCAATTGAAATAAATTTTGATATGTTAATAATTTTAATAGAATTTTATTATTTACTGAATCTTTATCACTAACACTTAAATGAAATAGACGTGTATTATTTTCTTTTTCTTCTTCAATATAAAAAATATTTTTTTGTGAATGATTATCTGGTAAAATAAAATCAATATCTGGTGGACAATCATTTACATCAAGTATGTCGATTTCTATTTGAGCATAAACACTAACTGCATCAGGTCCATTATCACGTGCACGAACACTAAAATGATAGTTTGTTTCATACTCATAATCTAATGATTGTAGTAATTTAATAATTCCAGTTGTTACATTAATTTGAAAAGGAAATGAAGATAATGGATTATCCGTCATAATTGTATAATTAATTAATGCATTTAAACCTTCATCATTATCATAAGCATGTATATGAATAATGTTTGTTCCAATGGGAGTATCTTCACGTAATTTAATTTGATATTTTTCATGTTCAAATTTTGGTACATTATCATTTGAATCAAGAATATAAACATCTAATAATAATTTACCAATATGTTGTCCATCATTAGCTAAAATTTTCATTTTATATATATTTCGTTTTTCACGATCAAGAGACTTTAATAAACGTAAGCCAAGTTGATTTTCGGTTTGTAAATTAACAATTGAAAATGCTTCGAAAATTTCTTGATTATATGTTTCATCCAATGATATAATACGATATTCAAGACGATCTTGATTATCTAAATCAGTTGCTGCGGGAAATGACGCTATATATCCAATGTCAGTATTTTCTGATAGACGAATTTGAAATGTTAATGTAGGAAATATTGGTTGATTATCATTTATATTCTCAATAATTATATCTAACGATAATATATCAATTGTTTGTAATGTTGATGCTATTATTTCTAATGTTAATAAACATCGTTCACAATTACATGTATGTGTTTGACACAATTCTTCACGATCAATCATACGTTTTATAGATATACGACCTGTTAATGAATCAACAATAAAAAATGAATTATGTGAACTTGAATCATATAAAAAAGAAAATTTTATTAAATTATTTGATGATGATGGATAAACACGTGTTAAATCATATATTGATGTACCAATAGAACTTTGTTCATTTAAAGATATTGATGGTAATCGTTGAATAGCTGTATGAATTGGTTTAATAATAAGAAGAAATAATAAAACAACACTTATTAACATTTTCATAATAAATCTATAGAAAGAAACAAAAATAAAAAATAAACTCATGAAAGATATATTTATAATTAGAAATGTTAATGAACAAACTAGTCTTTTTTCACTCTTTATACTGTACAATAAGATTGTATCAAATCGATACATATATAAATAAATCGTTAGTTATATGCTCCACCCAATTTTCGAATTAATGACCGATGGCCTACAAGTGTGAACGTTCATCATCCATCGTGATGTCTTTCTTTTTCTCGTTCGGCGTTTGTAAACAAGTTTGAGAACAAAGAAAAAAAAAGATGGATGTGTATTGCATACTACAACTACAAAGTAACTTCCTCTCCGGAAGAATGAATGTATGTGCATCTGAACCTTTCTGTACGTTCTCAAGCTATGAAGACAAAGTAAAGATTAAATGATGATGACGACAAAGTCATGATTGATTTTTATGGTAGCCGTTGAATGTCGATAGTGACAAATGAATAAAACGTCAAACAGTGTTAAACTTACTACATCACCAACAATGATTTTGTAATCGGATCAAATCAGTGACGGTGATTTGTCTAACGAAATATAAAGCATGACTGACAGACAGACAGATAGACAGACAGTCTCAATTTCTTTAATAAATTATGCAAAAGAAAATCTATCTATTAGATGATAATACCTTAATTGTATGCTATACAATGATCAAGGAGAATATATAGGTTCACACTTCTCTAGTTACTAGGATAACTCAAATGCCTACATTAAGAAATCTCTCTGTTCAATAATATCATACATAGTTCGTCGTATGATTAAGAATATTTGATGTGTTCATGTAGACACAAATTCGATAGTGTCTAGGCGGGATAATGTCGTTCGAATTATTAATTTCGAATCCTTTACATACATACAATGTACACGTATACATTCACTAGTCAAATTAAAGTTCAGGGACAATATGACATACATATACATTGAGGATGAATTATTTTACTTTCACATGAGATACACCTTTCACGCCTAATTTACACATACGTGATGAACGAATCGTATGCAATGAATAACCTAAAACTAGTCTTATATACATATATATATCAACACAGACATACTTCCACTTCTAATTGAAACGTAAAAAATATGTATATATGGATGATAATGATGTTTATCAAAAGAGTACACGCCCAATGAATCGATTCAATTCCAATTAAACGATTGATATTTAGTTGATCAGTCGCATACTGTTCAAGTCTTTCTCTCTCCCTCTCTTAAATATTCTTCTAAATCGAGATTGATTATTATTTTCGACTTGACTAAAGCTTGGACGTATGTACATTCGGATGACAAAATCTGTCTAGATATGCATTAAAAAAAATAATAATAATAAAACGAGGGTAATTGTTATGTCGATGTTCAAATAAGCAGAAGAAGAAAAAGAAGAAGATGAGATGAATGAATAAGTGAGTCAGTGAGACTTCCGGTTGAATGGTTCAACTGTACTGATAACGTATGTCTAGTTCAATATGGATAAGAGAAGAAGAAAAAATATAAAAAAAGACTTTGTTAGATCGTATATATAGAATGACCGTAGGCTAACGTTTGATTTTGACCTGATTATCAGTCTATCTCATCATTTCTTTTATTTTTGTTTCTCTGCCTCTAGCTAAAACAAACAAACTTAAATAGACTCCTTGAAATTATGCTGTTTCATCTTACAAGTGGGCGAAATAGTCATCCATCAATGTCAATACTATGCATAGTACTAACTAATATTGATATTAATAATGTGTGTATATGTATTTCTTTAATTTCAGACAACAGCTGCTTACTAGCAAGAATAGCATACCGCGTCTTTTTTTTTAAGTCAATTTTTCTTTCTCTCTCTCCATATATATATATATATATGCATGCATGTATAAATGGATAGCAATTGAACGAGGTTGATTATAAAAGAGACTATAATAAAAAAATGAAAAGAAAATTTTACTTGCTTTTTATCATGACATGATAGAAAATGGCTTCTGACGGAAACATCCTCTTTTTTTTTTCTCTAGGTTATTATTATTTTTTTTTATAGGATTATGTAGTAAGATTAAAACAAATGCTACTGTCGGCAGCGGATGCTTTAAAAAAAAAAAGATGAGAACAAGTGAGAATTAGAATGATGCAAAAGAACAAGGCAGTAACTGCTTCTGACTCATTTATTAATTTGACATTGAATTATGTTCTACATTTCTCTTTTATATGTTATCAATGACATAGAAATGATGTGAAGAAAAGACAATGATGACAACCGACTAATCGAATGACAATCACACTTTCTCTATTGTAAAATTTCTTCTCATTTTTTTTTCTTCTTTTTTGTTTCGTTTATAATTATTCTCATATGAATTCAAACAGGTACCACTGGTGCATGATGGAATATGAATCAAGAATCAGTAGTGAAGGTCAAGTGAGAATAGAACACAGTAGGCCTATAACCTTTTGAATCAGAACGTCGTTTGTCAATACATATATATATATATATATTGACTTTGAATCACTGTATGAAGTGAAGTACAAATTGGAGTGGACGATGGATAAAAAAAGAAGAAAAAACAAGACAAAGATGGATGAATGAATGAAAAAGAGGGCTGATCAAGTTGCTCATTCATACTGTAATTATCTGCATCTCATTCACGTATAAGCAAGATCATTCGATTGAAAAATAAACGTGACATAGAAGCTGCATAGAACTAATCTATGCTCAATAAAAGAAAAAGAGGCTAAAATTGGCTTGAAAAAAAAAACACACGAGCATAAAAAAATAGCAAGAATAAAATATAGCCATTAGTAAAAATGAGAAGATTAGAACTGTAGCAATTTTGATCTTTCTAATTTTCTTCCTGTTGTTTTCTATTATTATCTGTCTGTATGATGAGACATTTATACATGTGTGCAGGTGATGCATGCAAACGCCTATTCAATTTTAAATGTGCATTTTTATAATGCATGAAAAGACTGATTGTCAACTTTCTTTTCAACAAAATGATAATAATACATAGTTGGTCAATACGTCCGAGTGAGTTGTTCCGGCTCGATGCAAACTAATACCAATATAGAGGTACGATTAGTAAATACAGAGAACTAATGTAATAGATGATGTCTGTTGTATTATTGAAAGAAATAACGTTGAAATAAAAAAAGAAAGAAAAGGAAATGACTAGTCTACACTAACTATTATGCTATAATGTATAACTGTTAGACTTGTCCATCGACAATGGTCACTAGATTAGTTACGAGTCATAGTGTTGAATGACACGGCTTGTTCATATACTAGTAGTTACTCGCAGACACATTTTATTAATGATGATGAGTAACTCGTTGTATAGCGAACGATGAGAATCGGAACATGTCCGTCGACATTACTGACATGTGAATTCGAAAAGAAGAATGAATGGACATACATATACATATAAAGAGTTATCTTCGAAGAACTTCCGATAATTGTCTTATTCTTACTATCATGTTTATTAGATGCAAGTCAGTTCCGCTTCAAGAACTCAATTAAAAGTTTGTATAGCGCATCGCTAATGGACATCATTTTCTTTTTAAGAGTCACTCGCTTACTACTCGACCACAACGATTATTTTTACAGCAAGGCCAAGTGGTCAATATTCTTCTTTTTTTTTCTTGTTTAACCTCACAATTTCCTCTCTTTATCCTCTAGTACCTGTCAATTTTGAACTTACGCCGATCAAACATAACCTTCAACATTGAAAAGAATTGACTTTTCTTTTGAAATAAATTCACTTTGTTCTTATCAAAACATATGTATGTATATAAATATATACATACATGTTCTCCTCCTTCTCAACTTCTTTTGTATGTGATTTTTAACTTAACTTTAACAATGCATATGTACTATTTTCTTACTACTATTGATTGATGTTTTTAAATCAAATATGTATATAATATTGATACGACTTAATCAATGTCAACTTTTGCCTTTATTCGATCAATCCCATGAGAAAAAAAAAAGAATAAAATAACTTATATATCTTACTTACCTTTTGTCGTTTTCTTTTTGGTGTCGACAATCAAATAACATAAGAAAATATGATGATGATCAGACATACCGCCCAAAGTGGCATAGCTAATACTATGAACACATTTGTCCATATATTCATTACGCTTCTTTCTTTCTCGACCAGTAAGCTCTCTATCATAATTCTGGCATTTTTCTGTTCTTCTTTTTTCTCACATAAAACTATCCCCTGTATTTATATGCCTAGAGTGAAGCGCAACTTTAATGAGTTCTTCGGTGTTTTTTTTTTTCATTTTCTCTTCTCTGTCCAGTCCACAGAATGTGCGCATTATTTCTCATTTCCTATGAAGTACAAAAAAGGAACTTCTTTATTCTATCTTACATAAAAAAAAAGATGTGAAGAGTCAAAAGAAAAAACGACAACTGCAAAGAATGACCTAATTGAAAATATAGAAAATGTAGAAATAACTGAACGATTATCGTTAATCAATGCAGTTCATGATAATGTGGATTTTCATAAGGTTAATAATGTCACGTCGTTCAAATATTTCTCCCATGTGAAATGATGCAATGAACGAATAATAGTTGGCCTCCCGTTACGGTGTTGGAAGTTATTCGTTTTTCTTTTTTTTTCTTTCCTACATCAAATCACTAAATGATACTATTGAGTATTTCAAAAATCGATGTTTGCATGTGTGACACTAATCTGATCATAGTGGCAATAGATTAGAACGATTAAGAGCGAGAGAAAAAAAAAAAGAGAGAAGCACTTGATAAGAAAAACAAATGACCTTCTTCTTCGGTCAATGGACATCGTTTAAGAAGAAAAACGAGAAATGAATCACGATATTTATCATCTTAGGTTTTCTTTTGCGTAATACATAAATGAACGATCATTGACCGGCAATGACCTTTATGTATAGTAGATTGTTGGTTATGTTATCATATATATGAATATAAAAGCAAAAAATTAATCGTTCAAATACAATTAAATAATACAAGGACTGATTAACATACTATGTATATACTGAAGAATGTTAACAACAGAAAATATAACTGATCGATGAACAGTAAGTAACACAGTGTGCTGGTATAATATATTCAATAGAGTTAAAAGAAAAATGGTAAACCTTATCCTATGCTATGAAAAACTAATTTATCGATATACATATATAGAGTGGTTTATATATTCTTTTCTTCTGACATATAAAAAAAAAAAAAAGTATTCATACCTGTCAACATTCATTGTGATCAAATGGAATCATTGAAAAAATAACACATCCTTTTGCATAATAATATCTGACAATGTAATAATTAGCGGTTATCTATAACGGTTAATTAAGATTACATTTGCTGATTTGCGCTTCACTTCGTCTCGATCACATGCTGAATTAGATTTGAACGTATATATATATATATGTGTGTATATATGTATATGTATATGACTGACTATAACACATTTAGCATGTATTACATAATTTTGTTTTTTATTGTTCAATCATCATCATCATCATCGACTCGCACTCAATGGCAGCGACAGCTCATTGCACATATATATACACATATATAAAAAGAACAAAAAGAGAAAAAAAAAGGGAAAGTGAGAAAGAGTGCTTATTGACAGTTTTCTTTATGATTATAATAATTAAACAGATCAATACTTTCTTCCTTTGTAAATATACATACATGAATGCTAGAAGCAGAATAAGATGTTATCAGGAACATACATTCATACATCATAGAAGCAGCTTATTTTAAATTCACTGTGTCCGATACTCATTCGATACGTTGCTTACATAAGTGTCTGATGTTATTGACAATATTATTATACGAAAGACTATTGAAGTTATATATATATATGTAAAATCATTGACATATCCGTTCTATCATAACAAGAAAAAAAAAGAAAAACAGTAAACTTGAATATGTCTCAAGCATATTCTTTTTCATATAGAATTAAAAATTGAAGCAGTCAAAACGAACATTCTATGCATAATAAAGATAAAAATAAAAAGTTGAAATCAATTGATTTTTTGATAAATATACGGTTTATGATGTTGAATACTAGACAAAGTATGACTACTAAGTTAAGAGTACTCATTGAAAAATATAAAAGTCATAGGATGTGATTGAAGCGGAAACAAAGAAAATATATTATGCATTTCCTTCGGGATATGTTACATTGATTAAATCTGCAAGAAGAATAAGAAAGAAAACCTAGAATTATTTCTATTGATTTTCTTTGTTCTTTTTGGTTATATTTATTTACAATAACCTTCAACTATATTTCCTGATGTTTCTTCTTTGAGTGAATGAAAAATTTTTCCAATATAACAATATCATTCATACATTCAACAGAATCACTGTATATTGTAAACCGTATGTTGAGTTCACGATATTAACCCTAATCATATCTATTAATATGTTTTCTCATAAAAGCTCTTTATGATGAGTCGTCTTATGTTTGTAATAGAAACTTATTGATATTACGTATATAAGATTAACAGAGAGAATTAAAGAATCTATTCTCAACTGTTGAAGGAAAAATTTTTTCATTAGCTTGTGGATTATAATTAAATAAGAAACCAATTCTGAAAGCCATAAATAATTGAAGATATTGCCTTATATTTTCTATTGTTCAATTAAATTACTAATGAAACTTGGTACTAAAAACTATGAACTATATTTGGAAGATCTTTTGAATTTATAATAATGTCGAAAATTTCGATATGAGTTTTGTTTTTCAGACTTAAATCTAATCTTCAAATTTTATCCGAAAACGAACCATATATTACAAGATTCCTTCAATTATCTGTCAGTGATCATAAAATATCGATTTCTATTTTTAGATGATAAAGGGTTCTTGTGTTTTCCAATAAATGAATGAAACTATTCGAATGATGTTGTTAGTTGAGATTTAAGTGACGCAATTGTCTAAACATCATTAGTCAAACATTTGGAAGAAAATAAAATATGTTTTAGCCATGGTAGATTTAACGAAGACAAGTATTTTTCACATACGAATTTATTGATTAATGAGAGTGCAGATACCAGCAAGAGTCAGATTTTGGATCTTCTAATTGTAAGTCCAAATGCTCCTGTGAAAATTTCATTTAATCATTGTTACAGTAGAGAAAGTATGGATTTGAAACGTTTGTATACATCTACTTTTTTCTAATCATGCTGTTTTTTTCTTCTATTCGTTGTCAATATGTAAGAAAATCAGGACGATTCCAAGTCTTACGATGACACACATATACAGAAACAGATGGAATTGTAAAAATAGATGATGACAAATGAATTACAAATTTTCAAGTTTTATCAACATTTGTGTTTAATTGGTTCTATAAATCAGATGGATATATTGTGACCGAGCTAAATATTCATTAGAAGATAGATGTGACCAATGTTTAAATTTATAGAAATGCAAATTGACTATAAGATTTTATCTGTCTAAGATCAAACACAGACGAGCACAATAAAATTTTTTGTTTTCATCAGAATTCAGGAACGTAAGAGTCTCTCACTGTCACTGAATCAGTTTTGTCTATATGTTATTATGAGTGTTATACATGCGAAAGAAAATTTATACATTTAGTTTTTCTTTTCCATTTCAAATAAATTTAATTTAAAATTTCTCAATAGGCATAACTAAATAATTTTTGAGTCGCAATGTCTTCTAGTGATTTATCATTGTTGATTGCGCAATACTTCGTATTACCGAACTTTGAAAAAGTGAATAGAAATTGTCATAAATATCTAATATAGACGGTGTTTTTCATAATCTGTCACAGGCATATTCTTTTCAAATGTTACCAAGTTGTTTTAATGACCCATGATTACGTGATCGTGAAACAAAATAGAGATCAATAGCACTTTCGGTTAGTAACAACTCATGTTCATATTCAAGTTAGCCTTTACTTATTCAATTCTAATTCAGAATGATATAAGTAATATATGAATAATAGAGTAAACATACCTAATGTCTCTCTCACAGCAAAAAAAAAAGAAAAGGATGAATGCTTATTGTGTAAATAAATATTTAATGAATTTTATTTCATATTACAAATTTTTGATGTCTTATTTCTATTGAAAATCGATATCGTAGTATAATACTGAATAATTAAAACATTTATCGTTCTCAAACCTCAACGTTGAGGATTAAACCAATATGTTATAGAAATACATTTCTTGAATTAAATGTTACTGATTGTGAAAAATTCAATGCTTAAATGTTCAGCAAGAAGATAGTGATGCTAAAGATGTTCACAGCAAAAGCTTCTTTTTTAGGGAGATAATAAAATTGCATGAATTTGCACCCGATTAGAGTGTCTACAAGTCCAATAGTTAGAATCGTGATGAGCCTGATGTATTCTATATAACAGTGGTAATTTAGAACAGTGATGAAAGAGATTTTCGAAGAATTTCTCGAAAACCATCGATTCAGCGACAGATTTTCAGTTGCGATGAACATCTATGACTGATATACATAACATGATTCTTAACTTCTATTTAATGCTATTTTGTTAACATGCCCATAGTTTTTCTGACTATTAGATTAATGAATATAGAATAGTTTTCATCATACTTCATAATTCATAAAAGTCAATAATTGTAGAAGTATAATAAGAAGTTATTCTCAATATATTTATTAATAAATTAACTATTACTAAAACCATAGATTCTTAAGTGGAACTTTATTCATGCTTAAAATAGGTTTTTTCACGATATACTTAAAGAACAATGATCCATCATGACGGATAAAGAAAAACGATCATTAAGCAATGAAATCGACTTCCTGCCGAAGTTCGATAACATCCTTCCAATATGATTAAATTGGCTGTAGGGCATCGATGACTACTGAGAATGAGACTATTTCATACATTTTATAACACACAAATCGATTAATCTACTCTTGTTATGGTCATGTAGTCGACTTGCACATAAAATTAAAGTTTATTCGTTCCTCTATCAAATGATATGTAAATAAATGCGACAGAGTTATTCCATGACTTCTTTTCATATGGAAACTTGGTTATTACTATATATTACAAATCGAATGTNTTTCTGTAATATTACACATCAATGTCAATGTTCAAATGACTCATTATGTCTTGCTTCATTTATTTGTGTGTGTCCTTTGAACAAGTTCGGTTCACGTTGTTATTTGAAAAGATCAATATGTCAATCAATGAACAATCCATGTCAACACAATGGACTTTATATAGCAATTGATGATCGTATTAATTTACATGAATTTATCTGTGTTTGTAAAGAAACTTATCAAGGTGAATGATGTCAACATAAAAACACTCAAATTGATATTTCTATAGATGAGACAATTCTAACAATAAGTTCATCATTCATTCTACATTACATAATAGCATTTGACAAAACTATAAAACATGAACGAATGACTACATTAAAAAAGATTGCTTTCGGTTACAATACTATGACCATTTATGCACGACGACCATTTAACGTTCTTTTCATACAAATATCTGATGGTAATTATTATCTAGCTGTATTAAGAGAAAGATATATACCATCTGAATATATTCATACTCAAGTATTACCAAAAAACCGTTGTTATCCAGTTCTTGATCTTTTTAATGATACTTTTCGTCAGTATGAATATCTACGTCGGGTGAAATATTATCCTCTTTTATGTCGTCAAGATTCACAATTGATGTGCTTTTATGATGAATACTTCATGTGTATATGTGATCGTGATCGGTTTTCAAATTGTTTCGAATTTAATAATACGATAAAATATAATTGTAATGGAAAACATCTTTGTTATAATGATGGTCAATGTTTTCTCAACAATGAAACCTGTCCAACAACATTCATTTGTGTGTGTAATGATTGTTACTATGGAAAGCAATGTCAATTTTCAACAAAAGATTTCATTTTTTCACTCGATCCAATTCTTGGATATCATATTAAACCAAGCATTTCACTTCATCAAGAACCATTTATTGTCAAATTCAGCATTATTATTACTACAATTATGTTGTTTAGAATTAATCATGGGTTCATTGTCTATAGCAACATTTCAAGTGAAAAAATCAAGAGAAGTTGGTTGTGGTTATTATCTTCTCGTATCATCGATTAGTTCAGGGTGTATGATTATTGTATTAACAATTAAATTTTGGTAACTTGTTCTTTCACAAATGTCAATCATAACTAATAGATCAATGTTGATTATTAATTGTATTTCAATTGAAATAATTCTTAAATCTTGTTTAGCATCAAGTGAATGGCTTAATGCTTGTGTAGCTATTGAAGGAATGTTTACTATCATCAAGAATGTGCCATTTGACAAAAAAAAGAGCAGGATAGTAGCTAAACGAGTGATTTTAGTTGTTATTATTTTAACCACAATTACGCATATTCATGATCCACTTTATCGACAAGTGATTAATGATTTAGATGGAGATCAACAACGAATATGGTGTTTATCTGAATATTCATCTACATTAACTAAATATAATCAATTTATTACACTCTTTCATTTTCTTGTTCCTTTTTCACTTAATTTGATATCTGCTTTTGTAATTATTATAGTAGCAGCTCGTAGTCATGTAAATGAAGAATCAGAACTATCATTCAAGCAACACTTTAAATTGAAACTTAAACAACATAAAAATATTATTATTGCACCTAGTATTTTGCTAGTATTAGGTTTGCCACGTCTTATTATTTCATTCACATCAGGATGCATAAGATCACCACGTCAATCTTGGCCATATTTGATTGGTTATTTTGTATCCTTTATTCCATCAATGTCAACATTGTTTGTATTTGTTTTTCCATCAAAAAATTACAAAAGTGAATTCGATAAAACAATACAGCGATGGATTCGACCATTTCGTCGAAGATCTTAATATGTTTCATGTAAAATTCTAATAGACAAATATTTCTATTGATGTTGCTTCTAGTTTATTTATCAACGCTATAGACACAACCGCTAAATTGTTATTCGCTTTGCTTTGTTGTCAGCTGACAGTGCTTTATTAGTCTTTGAAATAAAGATGTAAATCAATTGAGTGAACTGTATTTCAATATTTTCTTCAAACCATTTCATAATCAGTTTTATTTGAAAGTAAATCAAAACTTTGCTTGTTCATCGCTATGATTTTATTTCATGACTAAACTATCATATTACAAGATTTCCTAGTCAGCTACAAGAAAAGAGTATGAGTATAAAAAAAACGAACCACGCTAACACTCACAATCGCACCTATACCCACATCCTCTATCGGATATCTCGCGGTTGAAAACTATCACAAAATAGAACAGGTAAAAATCTTGTTCTTGAACTAGGTTTTTCGTTAAGATGATTTTGCAGTCATCATTACATGTTTAGATCATCGTAAATCTCGAAAAACTTGTCAAAATACTTCAACAGTCAACTTTTCATCTGAATTGGGTGTGGGTATAGGTGTGCAAGTGTGTTTTTAGTTATTCTGTTAACCCACATCCACACCCACCCTATGCTACATATAATCGATCAATTTTTTACATCTATACCTCCTGTATGTCGATTGAATCGCATTTTCATATTTAGTTTTTTTCTTTTATTTNCGAGTTGGTATTTGCCAATTCCATTTCAATTTCTTCCTGTTAATCGAATATCGACTCAATTAATTATTCCTGAAATACGAGAAAATAAACAATGTATATTGTCGTGTGGAGAACATGGTCGATGTATGAAATATACAAATATGAATAACTCAGTTTTTTGTCGATGTGATCAAGGATATTCTGGTACTTTCTGTAATATTACGCATCGATGTCAATGTTCAAAAGACTCATTCTGTCTTGCTCCATCTATTTGTGTGTGCCCTTTGAACAAGTTCGGTTCACGTTGTTATTTGAAAAGGTCAATATGTCAATCAATGAACAATCCATGTCAACACAATGGACTTTGTATAGTAATGGATGATCGTATTAATTTACATGGATTTATCTGCGTTTGCAAAGAAGGTTATCAAGGTGAACGATGTCAATATAAAAGCAATCAAATCGATATTCGTATAGATGAGACAATACTAACAATAAGTTCATCATTCATTCTACACTACATAATAGCATTTGACAGATATACACAACATAAACGAATGACTACACTTAAAAAGATTGCTTTCGGTTGCAATACTATGAGCATTTATGTACGACAACCATATAACATTCTCTTCATACAAATACCTGATGGTAATTATTATCTAACTGTATTAAGAGAAAGATATATACCATCCGAATATATTCATACTCAAGTATTACCAAAAAATCGATGTTATTCAGTTCTTGATCTTTTTAATGATACTTTTCGTCGGTATGAATATTTACGTCGAGTGAAATATTATCCACTTTTATGTCGTCAAGATTCACAATTGATGTGCTTTTATGATGAGTACTACATGTGTATATGTGATAGTGATCGTTTTTCAAATTGTTTCCAATTTAATCATACGATGAAATACGATTGTAGCGGAAAAAATCTTTGTTATAATGATGGTCGATGTTTTCTCAACAATGAAATCTGTTCAACAATATCTATTTGTGTGTGTCATGATTGTTACTATGGAACACAATGTCAATTTTCAACAAAAGGTTTCATTTTTTCACTCGACCCGATTCTTGGATATCATATTAAACCAAGTATTTCGTTTCGTCGACAACCATTTATTGTCAAATTCAGCATTATTATTACTACAATTATGTTGATTTCAGAATTAATCATGGGTTCAATATCTATAGCAACATTTCAAGTAAAAAGATTAAGAGAAGTTGGTTGTGGTTATTATCTTTTTGTATCATCAATTAGTTCAATGTGTATGATTATTATATTAACAATTAAATTTTGGCAACTTGTTCTTTCACAAATGTCAATCATAACTAATAGATCAATACTCTCTATTAATTGTATTTTAATTGAAATGATTCTTAAATCTTGTTTAGCATCAAGTGAATGGTTTAATGCTTGTGTAGCTATTGAAAGAACGTTTAGTGCTATCAAAGGTGTGACATTTAACAAAAATAAGAGTAAGATAATGGCTAAACGAGTGATTTTAGTTGTTATTATTTTAACAACAATTACACATATTCATGATCCACTTTATCGACAATTGATTACTGATTTAGATGGGGATCAACAACGAATATGGTGTATATCTCAATATTCATCTACAGTAACTAAATACAACACATTTATTACTCTTTTTCATTTTCTTGTTCCATTTTCAATCAATTTGATAGCTGCTATAGTACTTATTAGAGTAGCAGCTCGTAGTCGCTTTCAAGTAATGCCGCAACAATCATTCGTGCAAAACTTTCAATCGAAACTTAAACAACACAAACACATTATTATTGCACCTAGTATTTTGTTATTATTAGGTTTACCACGTCTTATTGTTTCATTCACCTTAGGATGTATGAGATCACCACGTCAATCTTGGTTATATTTGATTGGCTATTTTGTATCGTTTATACCATCAATGTCACTATTNACGTAAACGGGAATGAAACTGATGAAACAAACTGTGAATGGTGGCCATGTAATAATGCATACTCACATTGTAATGGGATTTGGAATTGTCTTAAAGGTATCGATGAACTTAATTGTCGACATATAGATTGCTCATGGAACGAATTTCAATGCAAAAACAAAGATTTGAATTTAACTTATTGTTTACCATTAGTTCACATGTTCCATAAGAGGAGAGATAATTGTACGGATTATGAAATTATTCATGAACTCTATGTCGACAATGGAACAAGTGACATTAGCAGATCTTTCTATTCATTTAACAAATCCAAATGTATAACTGAAGATAACATTTGTAATTGTCATTTGGAAAGAGAGAATGTACAAGATGATGTATGCCCTCCAAATCAAATGGTCCATATAAGTGTCAGTCATTATAGTACAATCCACAAAGTCGATAATGATAATACATACTTATGTAGTCTTCAACCTAGCACGGACATGTTCTTTGATTCTAAACGTGGCTTCTTGACTCCTTCGCGACTTGGCTATTTTCCATCAACAACATCTACAAATTCCACTCAAAATTTTTTCGACAAATATAAACATAAAAATAATATACCTAAGATAGATATTTTACTCGGTAGGTATTGTCATGATGGTGTTGTCACTTTATTCAAGGGTGTTAATCAAACAAAAACATGCCTATGTCCACCAAATTATTTTGGTTCTCGTTGTCAATGGCAGAGTCAACGTGTTAGTTTGACTTTGCAATTTAGAACACAAAATATTATTCCTCCTCCAGTTATTTTTCAATTAATCATCATGCTTATTGATGAACAAAGAAACATTGTACCAAATCATGAACAAATGATATATATGCCTGCTCATGATTGCATTACAAAATATAATATCTATCTACTTTATCCACATCGGCCCAAACATTTATCAGTAAATTACTCGATACGAATTGATCTTTTCGATAAATCAACATTAGATTATTGGACGAGTTGGCTTTTGCCAATTCCATTTCAGTTTCTTCCTGTTAATCGAATATCGACTCAATTAATCATTCCTGAACTACGAGAAAATAAACTATGTATGTCGTCATGTGGAGAACATGGTCAATGTATGAAATATACAAATATGAACAATTCAGTTTTTTGTCGATGTGATCAAGGATATACGGGTAGTTTCTGTAATATTACACATCAATGTCAATGTTCAAATGACTCATTTTGCCTTGCTCCATCTATCTGTGTGTGTCCTTTGAAGAAGTTCGGTTCACGTTGTTATTTGAAAAGATCAATATGTCAATCAATGAACAATCCATGTCAACATAATGGACTTTGTATAGCAATTGATGATCGTATTAATTTACATGGATTTATCTGTTTTTGTAAAGAAACTTATCAAGGTGAACGATGTCAATATAAAAGCACTCAAATTGATATTTCTATAGATGAGACAATTTTAACAATAAGTTCATCATTCATTCTACATTACATAATAGCATTTGACAGATCTTCAAAACATGAACGAATAACCACACAAAAGAAGATTGCCTTCGGTTATAATACTATGACCATTTATGTACAACAACCATTTAACATTCTTTTCATACAAATACCTGATGGTAATTATTATCTAGCTGTATTAAGAGAAAGATATATACCATCCGAATATATTCATACTCAAGTATTATCAAAAAATCGTTGTTATCCAGTTCTTCATCTTTTTAATGATACTTTTCGTCAGTATGAATATCTACGTCGGGTGAAATATTATCCACTTTTATGTCGTCAAGATCCACAATTGATGTGCTTTTATGATGAATACTTCATGTGTATATGTGATAGTGATCGTTTTTCAAATTGTTTCCAATTTAATAATACGATGAAATATGATTGTAGTGGAAAAAATCTTTGTTATAATGATGGTCGATGTTTTCTCAACAATGAAACCTGTTCAACAACATTTATTTGTGTGTGTAATGAGTGTTACTATGGAGGACAATGTCAATTTTCAACAAAAGATTTCATTTTTTCACTCGATCCAATTCTTGGATATCATATTAAACCAAGTATTTCAGTTCATCAACAACCATTTATTGTCAAATTCAGCATTATTATTACTACAATTATGTTGATTTTAGAATTAATCATGGGTTCATTAACTATAGCAACATTTCAAGTGAAAAAATCAAGAGAAGTTGGTTGTGGTTATTATCTTCTCGTATCATCGATTAGTTCAATGTGTATGATTATTGTATTAACAATTAAATTTTGGCAACTTGTTCTTTCACAAATGTCAATCATAACTAATAGATCATTACTCTCGGTTAATTGTATTTCAATAGAAATAATTCTTAAATCTTGTTTAGCATCAAGTGAATGGCTTAATGCTTGTGTAGCTGTAGAAAGAATGTTTAATATTATCAAAGGCGTGGGATTTAACAAAAATAAGAGTAAGATAATAGCTAAACGAGTGACTTTTGTTGTTATTATTTTAACGATACTGTCACATATTCATGATCCACTTCATCGACAATTGATTAATGATTTAGATGGAGATCAACAACGAATATGGTGTTTATCTCAATATTCATCTAGATTAACTAGATATAACAAATTTATTACACTATTTCATTTTCTTGTTCCTTTTTCAATTAATTTGATATCTGCTTTTGTAATTATTATATTAGCAGCTCGTAGTCGTGTAAAAGTAGAATCGAAACTATCATTCAAGGAATACGTTCGATTGAAACTTAAGCAACATAAAAATATTATCATTGCACCTAGTATTTTGTTAATATTAGGTTTGCCACGTCTTATTATTTCATTCACATCAGGATGCATGAGATCACCACGTCAATCTTGGTTATATTTGATTGGTTATTTTGCATCCTTTATTCCATCAATGTCAACATTTTTTGTATTTATTTTACCATCAAAAAATTACAAAAGAGAATTCGATAAAACAGTACAGCGATGGATTCGACCATTCCGTCGAATGTTTTAATATGTTTCATGTGACATTCTAATATACAAGTTTTCTAATTTTCCTTGCTTCTATTTCATTTTGCAATATTATGAGCATGTATCCAAAAATTATATTCGTTATTTATATCAGTTGATCATACTTTTCAAAATTTTTGAAATAAAAATATAAAGCAATTGAATAAACTCAATTTTATTCTTTTCTTCATATATTTTGATAATTGTTTTCATAGGAAGATGAATCAAAGCTGTGAATGTCAACTTTTATGATTTAATCTTATTGCAAAAATATCAGATTGCTATACATTCTCTAGTCGGTTGCACGAAGAAGATGTCAAAACAAGACGAAGAAAAAAATGTAATAATATATTCTTGAAAAATCTCAATCATTGAAGAAATGCTCTGTTACAAGTAGGTAAAAGTTGAATTTCTCAGTTATATTTTTTCTTGAGAGACTTTCGTGATCACGGTTTGTTACTTCAGTTTATGGGCAATAATTTGAAAAAGAACTAAATTGATTTACCAGCAGCAACAAAAAGAATAGTTTTCATTTCAAATTCGATGTTTTGAGAAAATTATTATTATTTTCAAGAAAATATTACAACAAAAATTAGCAAATCAAGTATAGGATGTACATAATGAGCGTGTTTAATAAGTGTTTCAAAGTGTGAAGGTATGAGGAATTTACCAAAAACAACTGGAGAGGATATGAGTGTGGATGAAGAGAAAATTCACACCTACACCCACCTACCATTTCTATAATAAAACATTACTTTCAAAAAAAGATAACCACAGAAATGACTGCAATATAGCTAAAGAAAAGTTGGAATATATAATTATTAATTACAGTAAATGGTTGATAATAGAATGGCATCATTTGATTGTATACAGTAACATGGATAATAGTCAAATCAATGAGATTAGTTGCATCATTTAGACGAGTCAGAGAAGTCCAGATAAGCCATGAATGGATTTTATTTACTATTCCACCTTCATTAATAATAACATAAAAATATAATCCATTCAATAGCTAAACGACCAAGCAGAACGAGGGAAGATTTTATCAGCAATAATCGATGCTCGATCGAGACCAGTTACTGAAACATAATCATCGTACATCGAAAATATACAAACTAAGAAACTTAATGTCATCAGAAAACTTACTCTCGTTTTAATATTGCTATTTATACAGTATGCAGAATCTGTATTAATTATAACAAAACCAGTAAGAAGTCCTATGGCGTAAGGTGGGATCCGACACTGTGGAGTAACATTAATAACACTAAAACAGATTGGTTCATTCTATTGATCAAGACAAAAAACAATTTTCCACATGCAACTTAAAGCAGCGGTCAATTATTGACAAGCATTACGTACATTACTTGGACTGAGATTAGGACAGTAAAGAAGAAGGCCTAAAATCGAACCAATATCAATAATATATGAAATTTTCTTTCGTCCTAATACAAATGGCTTAAGTGCGAATGGAGCAATCCAATAGAATTGCATATCATTGAAAAGATACCATTGAAACATTCAAACACATACTTGCTGGCTTAATCCAATACCAATATAAAAAAAGGCTTTCCATCAATAATGACTACACCATTATTCTGATTTAAATCCTTGTTGAGTAGGATACGTAGGTTCGTAATCAAAGTAAGGTGTTAGATAAATACTCACAGATATGACATGGATAAATGTAGATGTAAGCCGAATATATCAATGAATATAATAAAGAAACTTAAATCGACAAGAAAATTTCATATATTATTGATATTGGTTCGATTTTAGGCCTTCTTCTTTACTGTCCTAATCTCAGTCCAAGTAATGTACGTAATGCTTGTCAATAATTGACCGCTGCTTTAAGTTGCATGTNATCGATAAAAAAACCAGCAGTGCAAAATGACGAAAAAAAAAGTATACTAACATTAGTATGAGAGATAGAACCTGTCGATATAAAAGAGTACTAAAATCGATTTATTAACAAATACATGTCGCAGAAAACAATGTCAAAAGATAATTTAGCCATGTAGTATTTTACACATCACTCTTTTTCTTTGAATACAAACAATCTACATTTATTATTTATTGTTCCAACACAAAAACTGAAATAAATAATATCGAATATTTTCACATTTATATATGGGCCATTTCAGACAAAACGGGACATATGCACCTTTCATTTGCTTTGGATTCGTTATAAAAGTTATTTTTCCGAATTAATTCTTTCAGCTGACTATTAATTGAATTTCATAGCATCTGTGTTGATATTTTCAGTAAGATTGGACTTTAAAAAAAGCTTCGTTATAAAAACTGGTTTTCCATAGGTCTTATCAAATCTCGCAACAAAATTTGTTCTCTTATCATCATCTAGAGATTGTCAAGAAGGATTTGTACTTTTTGGAATTGGCTTTAAATTTCTTAGTCGTTTATAAAAGTCGTTTTTCGTTTGTATATTCATACTTCATCAAGTCACTAACGACAACTAAATCGATTTTTTTGAAAAATCTATGCAAATACTCATCAAAAACGTTAGATAGAGATTTGGTAGCCTCAATAATTATTTACCGAATGTTTTATTTAACTGTCCAAAATGCTGTCTCAATTCGGAGTTTTTCTTTTAACTAAAATGTGAGAAGTGAAAGTCGGTGTGTCCTTTGTTTATGTCACGTCAGCAGCGCTAAGGTTTGCAGGATATCTAGGATAAGATGATCTACATTGAACATAAGAAAGTAGCTTTCGAAAAGTTGACAACTTCGAGATACACACATTTTTTTCGAAATGTCACGTTGCTAATAAATGATTTCATCCGTACGGTTCTTGTTGTAAAGTCAATCATGGATATTCTTTTGATTTTTCTTCAGTATTCTATATCTCAGTATTTCCCATTGTGCTCCAATTATAACTCTAGTTGTGTAATTGTGTGTTTATCTAGTTGAGGGCCTGCTTACTGATGTGTTTCTACCGAATGAATGTTTTGGTGTTACCCGGGACAATGACTGTGAACTTCTTGCCAATTTTTGTTTCGATGAATGGCTAATTATACCTGAATATCCTGTTATGTATGGATATTTTCAATTTGTCTATTTGACTAATCGATCAATTAATGAATTAAAAAGCAATGTTGTACCTAACTTTGTATGCTTTGATGCAAAAAAATGTCCTATATTATTATCTAGAATAGTCCCGATTAAAGTAATCGATGGTCTTACATGTTGCCGCACTTTTGATCTAATTGTAGAATATTCGACAGAACATTTTTATATGATGAATACAGAGTTCAACGAACTCTATCGTGAATGTTCAACTACCGGTAATGAAATGTCATGTGCAAATTCATCTTATTTTCATTGTAATCAATCTTTAAAATGCATTTCATATCATCGTGTTGGCGATGGCTTTAGAGATTGTTATTATAATGAAGACGAATTATTTCCTACATGTCATTTGAATGTCTCAAATCGATTTAATTGTACGTCGGATCCAACCAAGTGCTTGTCGCCTGTAGCGATTGGTAATACACAATTTGATTGTCCACAAGGAGAGGATGAGAAAAATGAGAATATATACGGTATCCTGCAACGAATATCGTTTTCATCTATATGTGACGAAATACCACACCTAGACGGAAAGGAAACTGACGAAACAAACTGTGACTGGTGGCCATGTCATAATGCATACTCACAGTGTAATGTGTTTTGGGATTGTCTTAACGGTATCGATGAACTGAATTGTCCACATACAGATTGCTCATCGAACGAATTTCAATGCAGAAATGACTATTTGAATTTAACTTATTGTTTACCATTAGTTCACATGTTCCATAAGCGGAGAAGTAATTGTACGGATAATGAAATTATTCAAGAACTCTATGTCGACAATGGAACAAGTGACATTAGCAGATCTTACTATTCATTTAACAAATCCAAATGTATAACTAAAGACAACATTTGTAATTGTTATTCAGAAAGAGCGAATGTACAAGAAGATGTATGCCTTAAAAATCAAATGCTCAATATAGAAGTCGGTTATTATAGTGCAATTCACAAAGTCAATAATGATAATACATACTTGTGTAGTCTTCAATCTCACGTAGACACAAGTCGTATTTCTACCGATCGCTTCTTGACTCCTTCGCGGCTTGGCTATTTTCCATCAACAACATCTACAAGTTCCGCTCAAAATGTTTTCGACAAATATGAACAGAAAAATAATATACCTACAATAGATATTGCACTCGCTGGGTATTGTCATTATGGTGTTATCACTCTATTCAAGGGTGTTAATCAAACAAAAACATGTCTATGTCCACCAAATTATTTTGGTTCTCGTTGTCAATGGCAGAGTCAACGTGTTAGTTTGACTTTGCAATTTAGAACACAAAGTATTATTTCTCCTCCAGTTATTTTTCAATTAATCATCATGCTCATTGATGAGCAAAGAAACATTGTACCAAATCATGAACAAATTATATATATGCCTGCTCATGATTGTAATACAAAATTTAATGTCTATCTACTTTATCCACATCGCCCTAAATATTCATCAACAAATTATTCGGTTCGTATTGATCTTTTTGACAAATCAACATTAGATTATTGGACGAGTTGGTATTTGCCAATTCCATTTCAATTTCTTCCTGTTAATCGAATATCGACTCAATTAATCATTCCTGAAGTACGAGAAAATAAACTATGTATATTGTCGTGTGGAAAACATGGCGGATGTATGAAATATACAAATATGAACAACTCAGTTTTTTGTCGATGTGATCAAGGATATACTGGTACTTTCTGTAATATTACACATCAATGTCAATGTTCAAAAGATTCATTCTGTCTTGCTCCATCTATTTGTGTGTGTCCTTTGAACAAGTTCGGTTCACGTTGTTATTTGAAAAGATCAATATGTCAATCAATAAACAATCCATGTCAACACAATGGACTTTGTATACCAATTGATGATCGTATTAATTTACATGGATTTATCTGCGTTTGTAAAGAAGATTATCAAGGTGAACGATGTCAATACAAAAGCAATCAAATCGATATTCGCATAGATGAGACAATATTAACAATGAGTTCATCATTCATTCTACATTACATAATAGCATTTGATAGATATACAAAACATGAACGAATGACTACACTAAAAAAGATTGCTTTCGGTTACAATACTATGACCATTTATGTACGGCAACCATTTAATATTCTCTTCATACAGATACCTGATGATAATTATTATCTAACTGTATTAAGAGAAAGATATATACCATCTGAATATATTCATACTCAAGTATTACCAAAAAATCGATGTTATTCAGTTCTTGATCTTTTTAATGATACTTTTCGTCAGTATGAATATTTACGTCGAGTGAAATATTATCCACTTTTATGTCGTCAAGATTCACAATTGATGTGCTTTTTTGATGAATACTACATGTGTATATGTGATAGTGATCGTTTTTCAAATTGTTTCCAATTTAATCATACGATGATATACGATTTTAGCGGAAAAAATCTTTGTTATAATGATGGTCAATATTTTTTCAATAATGAAACCTGTTCAACAACATTTTTTTGTGTGTGTAATGATTGTTACTATGGAAAACAATGTCAATTTTCAACAAAAAATTTCATTTTCTCACTCGATCCAATTCTTGGATATCATATTAAACCAAGTATTTCGTTTCGTCGACAACCATTTATTGTAAAATTCAGCATTAGTATTACTACAATTATGTTAATTTTAGAATTAATCATGGGTTCATTTTCTATAGCAACATTTCAAGTGAAAAAATCAAGAGAAGTCGGTTGTGGTTATTATCTTTTTGCATCATCGATTAGTTCAATATGTATGATTATTGTATTAACAATTAAATTTTGGCAACTTCTTCTTTCACAAATGTTAATCCTGACTAATCGATCAATACTCTTTATTAATTGTATTTCAATTGAAATAATTCTTAAATCTTGTTTAGCATCAAGTGAATGGTTTAATGCTTGTGTAGCTATTGAACGAACATTTGGTGCAATCAAAGGTGTAACATTTAACAAAAATAAGAGTAAGATAATAGCTAAACGAGTGATTTTAATTGTTATTATTTTAACCACAATTACACATATTCATGATCCACTTTATCGGAAATTGATTAATGATTTAGATGGGGATCAACAACGAATATGGTGTATATCTCAATATTCATCTACAGTAACTAAATACAACACATTTATTACTCTTTTTCATTTTCTTGTTCCATTTTCAATGAATTTGATAGCTGCTATAGTACTTATTAGAGTAGTAGCTCGTAGTCGCTTTCAAGTAAAACCACAACAATCATTCATGCAAAACTTTCAATCGAAACTTAAACAACACAAACACATTATTATTGCACCTAGTATTTTGTTATTATTAGGTTTACCACGTCTTATTGTTTCATTCACCTTAGGATGTATGAGATCACCACGTCAATCTTGGTTATACCTGATTGGCTATTTTGTAGCATTTATACCATCAATGTCACTATTGTTTGTGTTTGTTTTACCATCAAAAATTTACAAAGGTGAATTAGATAAAACACTAAAGCGATGGATTAGACGACTCTGTCGAAGATATTGATCTATTTTATATGGCATTCGAATAGGCAAATATTCTAATTGATCTTGCTTTTATTTCATTTTTCAACATTATTGACATATATCCTTAACTATCGTTCGCTTTTTTTTATTCATCGTGCGTACTTTTTAAAGTCTTTACAATAAAGATGGTAAATAATTGAAATAATTGGATTTTAATTGTTTTCACTTGAATATAAAGCAAAGCAGTGCTTGTCGATTCTTATGTTTTAATATCACGGTTAAAATATCAAATTGCTACATTCTCTAATTACTCGCACAAAAAAGATGTCAAAAGAAGACGGAAAAAACTATACTAATGTATTCTTGAAAGAATGCAACCATTTCAAAATCTCTTTTGTTTTTGATCAGAGATATATTAGTTAATAGTTGAACTTCTTAATTATTTGTTGTGTTGAGAGATGGATGTGGATAGTGGCTAGGTGTGTGAATCATGTCTATTATCGTACTCATTCACTCTCTTTGGGAACTCAAGCATGATCATTTTAAAAGAATTCGATTCTGAAAAGAGACATGACTTACAGTAGAAGATCTTGAAAATATCAGAATTACCAGGTGCTATTCTCCGAAAGAGGGACGATGTTGGGTGGGTGTGGGTGTGGATGTGGACGAAGACAATAAAATATACCCATATACACACTTTCATCCACACTCCACCCTGTTGAGTAAGATCAGAAGTTGTAGTCAACAGTGTCCACTATGATGATACGATAATATCTCTAGTAATGGCAATCGATCGAATGTTGGGACCATGGACTAGAAATGATCAGAAACGGTAAGTTTTATTGAAAGCTTTTTAACTTAACATAGTATCAAATTAGTTAGTGATGTATAACTTGAAAATTTGAGATTGCAAGTCAAATTACGCACACGATTACAAGACGATTGTTTGTCATTTTAAGGATAAGTTGATTTCGAGAGAGAAATGACGAATGAACATAAAATGTATCGAAAGCATATGGCAACGTGTAGAAACAAACAATTGAATCTTCAAGTGCCAATTATATTAAATAAATAAATCATGTTCATGAAGCCAAAATAGACTTTTAAACGAGTTGAATATCTTATCAATTTGCATCTAATTGGCAAGTTGAAATTTCATTCTAAATTGCAAGCGATAAAGTTTTAGTAAATAACTCTGTATGATATTCTTCCATTCTTGTCAAATCTTATAGCAATCCATAGTCTCATCACTGATGATAAATATTAATTTGCATAAATTGACCATGCTTAATACGGCAGATGCCTGATACTCGATGAGATTACTACTGACTTAATGCAACAGTTACTAGACGCTTGGCACCGAAAAACAAGGTTAATTTAGCAATACGAAAGATTTGATAGACTTCAAATAGTATTGATTCGAACGAGCATGTTTGTTCTCTTTCTCAATGACAAAGTTGTAATCATCAAAGAACAAATAACTTAGATTCGATAACTGCAGTGTGACTACAATGATTCTGTTCACAATGTTATCATTAAGATAAAATAAAGCAAATAGTTTCAATTGAATGAATTCATGAAGAGTAAAATTATATGCATAGAAATGTGTCACTTGTTCGTGTGTATTTTTATGATTGATGAAACGAGTGCGAGTAATTTTGTTAGCCATAAGTAGAAGATATTTTTGACGTATTGTGCAAAAATCATGCATGGATAACGAACCAAAATGCAATTCTTGAACTTGAAAATAGTGAATGAGAAGTATTTTCCGAACGAAAATTAAGCAAATAAAATGCTTGAAGTAACTCAGCTATTGTCAAATACTCGAATAGATCCAGCAATAATTAGTTCTGCCAACGATTTCTACAAGGGTGCGGGTGTGTAGGTTGGCGTTGGTGTGATCGTTTTCATCATTGAAATCTCCCACAAACGGGCACATTCATACATTCAAATACAGATTCACACCCACACCCGCACCCCACACTCACCCTCCTTATTACCGTTGCATAGGGTTAAGTAAAAGATGTCTAATGTGTGGGTTCCAAAGTATATCAAAGAGAACAATCGCCTTATTAGTAACAACAGCTATATCGTGTTTCATATTTTAATCCCACACGGATTACGCTAACAGCTTTTTTTCAATAATGACGGTCAGTCATTCTGAGGACAGATTTTCTTTTTACTGCATAGCACAAAAGTATGCCAAATCACATTTGATGATACCAAAATCAATTATTTTCACAATGCTGACCTATATTCCCTTGCAATTCTCCTCAATAAATTTTGTTTTTTTTCGTATATTTAGGATCTCTTATTTTTGAAAGGAGACTATTTTGGTCAATTAATAGAAGTGATCTCAATTTAGTTCTACATCCTAATTTAGTGAAGATGTCAGTGATTCTCTTGACATAACATCCACACCCACACATTCGACGAATAAAACTTTTAAAATAGATTCTTTTCAGTGCGAAAGTAAGGGTGTGGGTGTGAATCTTTGCTGACTAAAGCAGGCACTGATACTAACATTCATAATCACTAAGGTGAAATAAACCATAATAATGCAATCGAAGATTATTAAAAAGAAACATCATTGAGAAAAAATGTAACATTTTCATGAATACATGAGAATTTTAGTATTCCATTATCTATAACCATAATAAAATGTTGATGAATAACTTGTAAAATGTTTTTCTTAACATAGTGGGTTATTGTAGTAAGAAGAAAGTTTGACAAGAGCGGGGTGTAGGCATGGATCGATGAGAATGATGATGTAGTTGTGGGTACATCGTTGTAGGAGATGCCTGTGCGTGTTAATATAGGTACAACTGGAAGGTCCTGTCACCTCTTCATTCATACCTTCGTGTTCCTACATCATTCCGATGACTACCACATCGGGAAATACACGAGCTGTATCAAGTCTCCATACAATAAGTACGATATAAATGAGTACATATAATGGATTTCAGAATTAATTTCGAGTCTATGAAAGTGAACTCATAGTTAAAGAAAATGCTGCGCTTGCCAATCCGTGATTGATACACATAAACATCATATATATATTTCACCAACAGATATTTTCTGAAAACAAATTCCTTCCATTAATCTGATGATTCGAACAGATTGAAAAATATCTTCATTAAGATTCGTCGATATTTACAATCATTATATTAGACTTCGATGAAACTTGAGGTATAGGGCATCGATATGCGTATGAGGTGTGGGTCTGTATCTGTGGGAGTAGATGTGGATTCATAAACCATAGAATCGCACGCCCTAAGTTTTATCTTGACAAACTCATGTAATGATTGTGTTTTCTAGAATTTTTCAAAGTAAAATTGGAAGAGAAACTTTATTTACGTAGAATAAGAGAATAAAAAAATATAAAATGCCATAAGATATCGAACTAACAATTAACTTAATACACGATTCGGCTATCTTTCCATGGTATACGACTTCGAAGCCAACTGATGTTATTGAAGCCGAGATCTAGTTTGATTAGTGTCTACTTGTGTGGAAGACGAATATGCAGTAGATAAAGAAAGAAAACGAATAATCACTTTATTCATTCGTAATGCATCATACAGAAGCTTTGTGCTTTTATCCGTTATATTATTCCGACAGAGTTCAAGTATTTGGAGTGCCTGTATGCATAGTAGGTGATGGACATTAGAAAATAAAAAGAAAAGAAAATTTAAGATTACCGTGTTATGACTTAAGGCGTCAGCAAGATATTCGGCACCATTATCGTTGATCCTACAGACACCTAAGTTCAATCTGGTGAGAGTCTGCTTGTACATAAAAACATTTATAAGTCAGACGGCGTTGATAGAATGTAACTTATATTACAGTGTTACTTATTAAAGCATCAGCGAAATATTGTGCTCCCTTGTCTCCAATATTGTTGTCGTAGATTTGAAGTTCAATGAGTGTCTGTGTTTAAAAAATAATGTGAATACATGATCGACGAAGTGAGAATGATAATTACCTTGTTTTTTTGTAGTGCAGTAGCGATATGTTTTGCGCCATCGACTCCTATTTCGTTGGAAGCCACATTCAAATTGGTAAGTGTCTGTTTGTAGTAGAAAAGATAAATGTGAGAAAAACGAAGGAAGAATGTATGTTACCGTGTTATTGAGTAAAACATCAGCAAGATATATTGCTCCATTATTTCCGATTTGATTCATGCGGATTTCCAGTTTAGTGAGTGTCTTTGTGTAGAAGTGAGGATATCTACGAGAGAAGCGAAAAAAGAATTAAAATTACTCTATTTTTCATTAAAGCTAGAGCAAGATGTTTCGCTCCAATATCTTTGATTGCATTCCAGTTAAGAGCCAGTGTAGTAAGAGTCTATACGTTGAGTATTAGATCAATATCAGAGATATGAAAAGGTACTGAGATTACCGTATTTATTAATAAGGCATTAGCCAAATAATTTGCTCCTCTGCATTCGATTCGATTAGAACTGATGTCTAATACAGTGAGTGTCTGTATAGAAATGATAATTCATATGAGATAGATGAAGAAAGAATGAAAGTCACCAAGTTGTTTTGCAAGGCATCCGATAAGTGACGCGCTCCATCGTCTTCAATGCTTCCGTGAGGTTTTTCTATGGCGGTGATTGTCTGTTGCTAGAAAAAAATATGTAGACAAAATAGTTAATGAGAGAATACAATTATATATGAGTATTTCGTCTCGAATCTGTAATCATGATTAGAGATATTAACTAATACAGTTTTCAGCAAAAGAAAGTACTTTTGATGAAATATATGGACTGACTTTCTGAATATTTGCATTTATGAAGAAAATACTACAGAAATTTCTAGGTATTTCCAAAATTCTTATAGAATTTCAAAATCCCTTATATTTTCGTGTTGAAAGTCACCGTAATTTTGTTATGAAAATGACCTCATAGACTATCTGAAAGTCAACGAAGATTTAAACAAAACATAATTGATGCCTCATATCTCTAATTAAGTTTCGGATTCTTTTGGCATGAGAAATTTGTTGCATTAGCTTTGATATCTGCAAAATAGTATTCTA